CAATAAGGTGGTCCTTTTGGCTTTCACAGCTTGTAGCAGATGTAGCCCATTATCTGGAACATTCTTTGTATTCGTGTTAGTGTTACCATGACCCTGGATCTGCCTATTGTTAGACTTTTTTTTAGCGTCTCATGATTAATCAAATCAAGCCAGGAGCTGCAATCAGATCCACGGCTTTGTTGTAATCATGCTGCCACTGCATAACAGCAGTGATAAGCAGAACTGAGGACATCAGGCAGCTTCTGTACACAGCACACTTCCATCCCTGTGATCTACAGCAAACTCACAGAACCGTGCTTATCACTACTTTTGTTTAAGGGATGAATATGATGAATAGAGTATCTAAGTATAATAGTTGCATATTTTTTATTTGTTGATGACTTTCCTGACTGTTAAGTCGTAGCTAATGGCACCCATAGTGGGTCGCAGAGGTAAATCATGAATGGGTCAATGTAAATCCCAGGAGGGTGTTGGGGAAAATGCATCCACATAGCAGAAAAAACATACGAGAAATCTTCTGTAGATCTGTACAGAAGTGGTTCTTGCTGTTTTTTTCAAGACTTTTATATTGAATATGCATGGCAAGCATTGCATAAGCATGCACAGGCTGCAGTTTCACTTTTTTGCCGCTTTGCCAGGTGTACAAAATATTGAGTTTAGTGGGGCATGATGATCAGTTGGTGGGGCACTGCCCCCTAAATGACCCCCCTGACTCCAGGCCTGGCAGATCCATCTCTTATTTCATGATGGTGCCAGTTTTTGGGTAGGACCAAGCTGACACACACCTCCTCTCATTTGCATGGACTCTGCTATTGCAAGTTTTAATAATGGTCTGGTCTGTAGCAGGAGCATGAATCTTGGACCTCACAGTGATTCAGTTACAGTCCTTAGTGCATTATGAAATTTCAAATTTAACTATGATTTTGTTATTTTGCAGAATCATTTTAAAAATAGACTATGTACAAGTTTCTACACTTATGCTTTGGTGGGAGGCGCACCATATATTTTCTCATTCATACTGATCAAGCTAACGTTAGCCATGAGGGCTCAGTGTTCCCTGATCTATCTGTATGATACATCAAACCTCAAGATATGTTAAGGAAACCTATGAAATCATTCTGAAGGTCATGGTGAGGGTCATAGGGTAACCAATGGTCCTATAGGGAACAATAAGGACTATATTATTAATAGGATTGTGCCAGGGTAGGCTAGCATCAGTCAGCTAATTAGCTAACTAAACTTTGCAATGCAAACTGTTTTTTTGGGAAATTATAGCATAAACTTTGTGAATTATTGCTTTGTCTATTGTATTGCACTAACCTTTTTGTTACTAGTTATGTACCAAAGGGAATGGGAACCAGTGGGGCCAGTTGTTCCCTAGAAACTTGCAGTGCGGGAACATAGAGCATTGGGAATACTGGGAAGGTTGTTTCCGAAATTATAAAGAGGGAACACAGAACCTGGAAAACATAATTCCCTGGAAACATAGGGAAGGTTTCCTAGACATTTCAGTGAGCGAATAAAGGGCCCTGGGGACATGGAGATGACCCCAGCCAAAGTAACAAGCTTTTACCTCTGCTCCTCCGACATCTAGCCCTGCTTGCCTCTGCCACACACTGTTCTGTGAGTGAGTGTACCTGTGCACAAAGTAGATCAGAGGTGTTGATTTAATTGATTTTTATGTTTGAAATAGACTGGGAATTTTATTTCAGGCAAAAAAGATCATCACAATCGATTATAATAAATTTCTAGCATGCCAAAATGTATGCAGTCGAATCTCCGCTTTCTTACATTCTTACCAGCGCTATTACACACTGAACAATGCGCATTGCCAAGCCTTAGTAAGCTCAGAGAGAGATTCGAGACTCAGAGATTCGAACATGAATTCCAATAGTGGAACTCACACTTACCCTAGAAGCTGTTTTATTTTATCAATTGAAAATCCCCTTGTCAGTTTCTTGCCTGCCAGCTACAGTAGGAAATATAGTAAAGAAAAGGAAAATGAAGGAAAATGACAGCAATTTAAGCAATGTGAGTTGAGTCATGAAAGGCCATAATTTTAAAACATTTTTTAAACATATCTGCCTCATTTGAACAGATAATAACACATTTCAGTGCTCAGCATATTGTATAATCTTATGATTTCAGCATGCAACGTTTCTTAGCAATACATTAAAACGTCTTTAATGGGACCGTTTTATTTCTTATGGTCAGTCAGACATAGTCCTCCTTAATATATAGTATTTAAAGTAGAATTTCTGCATGATTTAATTGATCAATCACAAAAAATGTTCAGTCACTCTTTGGAAGGGTGAGGGATCGAGCGAAAACAAATGTAGCTTCAGCGGCAAAGCTTGCCCAGAAATTATTGCAACCTGACACGTTTCCCTTTTCAAACCCCAAAAAGCTGTTCACAAGCCATAGAAGAAAACTACTTTAAAACGCTTAATAAATCAATTCCATACTCAGAAATTTAGCAGTAAACTACTTTAAACTGCTTAAAATTTCAAAGCCATAGCATTCAATTTGCTGGGCTTTAGGTTACAAATTATCTCCTATGGAAGACCACTGATACAACTTAATCACTCTGCTAGCTTGCTAGTTAGCATGTTAAAGTCCACATGGCTAAAACAACAAAAAGAAGTGCACTACACTACGGCTCTACACCAACTTCCCAAAAAAAGGTCTTGCATTCTGAGGTTTACATGGTTTGCTGATTAGCTCAGTGAGGACGAGAGCATTTTGCTTGAAAATCCTGCTCCTCACTGTCCAGTCCTCCCCTTCTGCTGTGAGTGGCCACTTGTGTAACATAGGTGTGATGCACATCCAAGTGGTGAGTCAAAGTGGGCGAGGTGAAAAAAAAATAGGGCCAACATCCTGAGCATCAGGCAACATATTCATAACCATGTTGTGTAATAGCATTCTGTGAGGGAGCTTTTAGAGGCATAAAACTCTTCAGATGTCTGGTTCCTATCACCACCACTGTGAACACTTCTGACTCTCTAAGTTTCTCTTGAACAGAGCATTTCACATCAGACACATCTGAATGACTTCACATCTTATTTATTGATGCAGACAAATAGAAACATAAGTGGAATTCCCATTTAAAGGTGGGCAGGATCACAGCGACTATAAGGCCGGGGGTCTGGATTGAAATAATGGTTGGAAACAATTGCATGGGACAAATCAGGGTGGACGAAAGATCTACCATTAATCACATTTAATACTGCTAAACGTTAAAAGCATAAATATGCGAGTGCTTGAACTTCAAGGGCTTTCTTTTGAAGTGCCGAAACTTGCAATATGCACCACACCTTTTTGCAAAGGAAGAAGCATGTGGAGTGAAAAAATAAGGTCTTTGAGATGCAGACTGATGCTAACAGTCCAACCACTTACTACAGTATGCTTCCCTCTGAGACACATCTGTCAAATAAGTCTCTCCTCACAAGCACACACAATAACATCATTGTGGGAGGCAGGATGCTCTGGACACAGCCCTTCTGTGGACCGGTTTACAACTGAGGAGACACTGTGTGCATTCTGCAAGTAGATTAACTTCAAATTTGTTTCAGCAGAATGAAACGTTCAAACTTATTTATGAATCATTTATAAAATTTGCCTGTTTTCTGAATTAAATGAACTGGATCACATCACAATGCACCCAATCCTTCACCTACTAGCATTACAAGGTATGTTATATCTAGAGCATTTGACCCTTTCCCTCCCGAGAGGCCAGCCAGGTGCTAGTTCAGTCTTTTGTCATCTCTAGTCTTGACTACTGCAGCTCGCTCTTTGCTGGTCTTCCTATGTGGTCCATCAGGTCCCTGCAACTCATCCAGAACACAGCAGCACGGCTGGTCTTCAACTACACTCTTTGTCCATTTTATCAGCTCCACTTATCATATATGAGCACTTTGTAGTTCTACAATTACAGACTGTAGTCCATCTGTTTCTCTGCATACTTTGTTACACCCTGTTTTTCAATGGTCAGGACCCCCACTGGACCACCACAGAGCAGGTATTATTCATTCTCAGCACTGCAATAACACTGACACGGTGGTGGTGTGTTGGTGTGTTAGTGTGTGTTGTGCTGGTACGAGTGGATCAGACACAGCAGTGCTGCTGGAGTTTTTAAACACTGTCCACTCACTGTCCACTCTATTAGACACTCCTACCTTGCTGGTTGGTGTAGATGTAAAGTCAGCGACTGAAGCTAATCTGTTGCTGTAAAGTTTGTGTTCATCCTCTAGTGCTTCATCAGTGGACGCTGCCCACAGGACGCTGTCGGCTGGATATTTTTGGTTGGTGGACTATTCTCAGCCCAGCAGTGACACTGAGGTGTTTAAAAACTCCAGCAGCACATATTTCTTTCATTTATTGTGGAATGAAGTCCAGCAAAATAAATTACAGGCAGGTATTTAAGTGCAGGCCCAGTGCCACCTAAACATTTTGAGTACAGTTATCACATATCAGTTTGAAATACTGGTTAAATCTAACATCTGCCCAGTGCCGATACATTTTTACCCTTTTAATTAATGTTATAATTAATCTGTAGAATATTTGATGGACATGTTTAAATATGTTGTTTTTTGTGACATCACAAAAACAGTGAATTCAGAACTTTGAAAGTTTAAGTTTGTTTATATAACGTTACTACATGAAACCCTTTCATTACAAAAAGAAAGGTTTTTTTTTGTTTGTTTTTCCATGCTAAGGTCCCTTTAATATCAATAACAGAATAATAAACCGAGGGTTTACGGGGTTAATATATCTAGATATATCCAGCTGACTTAAAATAAACCAGCTCAAGCTGCTCAACAGGTGTGAACGTATTATGAGCCGTATTTTGGCAGCTGTGGTCCGAGAGTGGTGAGCCAAGTCTCTAGAGGCGAGAGAAAGTCGTGAATAAAGAATCACGACCGAGGTGCGCCAGATAAACAACGTTCAGGGTGCACCGAGCCTGCTTCCGTGACGGCCTCGGTGTTTTGGTTGTGGAAACGGTTAAAAAAAGGAGGAGCGAGCATGAAGTCTGTCCGTTTTCGGGGGGGACTCGTCTTGCTCCGTTTGAAAGAGGCGAGCACGACACAGCAGCGCTCGTGATAGCACGTCGTCGGCTGAGCGGCACTGTGGGTGTGTTTTATTAGCTGCTCGCGTGAACTGCAGGTAGCGGAGCGCCTGAGCGACACGGAGCCGGCGGAGCGTCTCCTCTCTCTCCTCTCCGAGGTAAAGACGTGTCCGTCTCCGTCTGTGTGTGGAAATGAGTCTGAACCTGTGAGGAATAACCTGAGCAGCTCGAGGCGGAGGGAGTCGAGTCGTGCTCAGCCCCACAGGTTTGACACAGGTCTGAGAGGCGAGTGAGAGGTAGGACAAACGCTGCTCTCTCTTATCAGCGGGAAACACTGTGAGGAGACAAACGGACAGGAGCCAGGTGTCAGCTACGCGAGGGGAACTGGCCGTTTGTGCTCTGTGGCGATGCGCAGGCTGGATTCGTGTGAGAATGATACCGCTAAACTGACATATTCCACACCTTGAGCCTTTTTAATATCGAAACGAAGCCTTAGCAACAACTTCCCGCGTACCTGACACTTCCAACGGCCGTTATCCTCACGTGAGAGGAGGGAATGATAGTTTACAGCGGGGAGCGCTCCTCATTGGCCGCGCTCATTAACATCAAGTTTACCATAGAACTCCATTCATCACAGCAGTCTGTCTGTAGAACTACATCTTCGTGGGCCGTGAATGAGAGCTGGCTGTTTTGTTTTCTTCTGAGGTCCATTTGTGTGGTTTTATGTACCAAAAAAAATGGCTTAATTTTACATAACCATTTTCAGCCTCTCTCGTTCCTCTTAGAATTGAACCAGCTTTTTGTTACTTTGCCTTCATGACTGATATATGTAAATGAGCTCTGTTCTGATTGGCTGTCTTATATTGCGTCTCATTTAAAAAGCAGTCCAGGCTGAAATACCCTTTATAACCCCAGTGTGAGTGGGCGGAGCTAAACTGCTGTTGGCTGAATAGACATATGCATCTGTTGGCATTACGAAAATATTGAATTCAAAACAGGCTATTTTTGCAGCTTAGTCTCCATATATTGACTGGGAAGTAAATGGTACATTAAGAAACTTTACAGTGTTTTACATACTACACCAAATCCTTTCATAAAAAAAAAAACATGTAAATTCTGTTTTCCTGATATGGGCCATTTAATTATTTTATTTGTTTTTCTTTTTATTATATATAAGGAAATTGATACCTTAGTTGTAACTGAAACGTTAATAGGTTAAACTATTACTGTTACTAACACATGACACTATAGGTGAGCAATATGACAATTTTTGTTGTTCTAATAAATTTATTATAATTTTTATGATAAACAGTACTGATGCTGTCAGGAATGCTCAATGTTCAGGTATCAAATGCAAAATCAACATTATACAGATATTATACATATAAAGATATGATGACAGTAGATAATTCACTCACATCCTTGAAAGACACGTCTTTCACAAAGTTTTGAGTTCTCTTTGAATTATCTTTAAATGCACTCGCAATCATCTGATTCATCTTCTATGTGCGATTACACATTTACACCGAGAGGTCTCCAAATCCCCAAAACTTACACAGTGTAGCTTTAAAGAGCACTGCCCAGCTGCATGCTTCATTAAAAGAGAGCCCAGAGATTACGATGGCAGCTTTTAAATGTGGCAGTGCTAGTGGATTGTGTATTTGTTTCAAAATATTGTGAGCTGTATCATGTAATGTGAAATTCTCAAGTATTGTTATATTTTTGCCATATTGCCCAACCCTTCACAACATTGTTCACTCTATAAAATTCCTACAGGACTGAGAGGTCAAAAGAAGGTTACATTTTTGCAACAGATAAGTAAAAAGTGATGACAGCTTTCCATTCCATTGTATCGTCAGCAGCAAAGCATCTAAGACTTGCTGGATACTGCTCCAAACTCCTGAAAACGCCAACCAAATAATGACACTTAGAGCCAATAACCTACTAAAATGATATGAAGCAGCAGTGGTATTACGTAGAACAGAGATGTAAAATGATGGTGTGGTTGCTGGACAGAAAATGTCCTGAGAAGCGTTTATGGATTATAGAGCAACTGTGGTGAGTCAGAGACGCCGATGAGAAAACGATAAACAAAGCAAGGCATTGATGTAATCTGTATCCTCAAGGTCATCAAGAGGGGAGTCTGAAATAGTCTAAGATAGAATTATTGTGTTGTGCAGGCAGCAGAAGCCATGACTTGATTAGAGAGACAGCAAACGTGTGCTGAAGAGAGATGGTTGCGTAACTGGACTTAATGGGAGGCAGTAATGGCATTGGTTTGTAGGAGGGAAGCAGGGGAATTGGCATGTTTAGAGGTATCATTAACAGCCGAAGAGGCGGCATGCTGAAAGTCACCATCACGTTTGAGCGGTCAAGTCATAAATTGCATTGCTGAATGAGAACTCATGCTGTTGACACCATTTTCTAATGCTGCTATACAGAAGGCCACAGGTTTTTTTTTTTAGAAGAGCAGTGTGTGCTTTTCACTCTGCAATGTGTGAAATTGATACTCACCCCCTAAAGTCATTGTGGGGGCTGTGCTTGAACAGCTGAGATCAATTATGAAAGGGGCCGTTGTGTTTCATATATTACGGCCAGTGTTTTGAAAATATGACAAGTTCATAAGTGATGATGATCGCCCCCCTTCCTATGTCCTTTCTTTTTGTTGAGCAGCATGTGGGCTGGTGTCCTCTGGAGATCTGAAGAGCCCTGATCCGCTCCACCGAGGGGTCGTCCGGCAGGAGGAGACCCTAGCTCTGCAAGAATTGGCATTCCCTTAGTTGGAGCAGCTGTTGAGAAAAGTGCATCTGTGGAAATCCAACTTTCTTTCTTGGAGAGGACCTGTCGCAACCCCTTAGGAGGTGCTTTGTTACCTCGAAGTTTGCAGCACACTTCCGCACCCTGCAGTTTGAGGAAATGCACTTCCTGGGACGAGCTTTTCCACAGGAAGATCTTAGTCCTGAAAAAAATGTTCTCAACTGACTCTCAGATTTATTTGATTTTCTCCTGAAATATGACTTTGGGGCATGCCGTTCTGAGACTTAATGACTGAACTCTGTAAGATTACAGCAATACGACAAAAGCATTCACAACTTTCTGTCTTCTCAGTTGGACTGTGGAGGGCCAGAGCTTTATCAAAGACCTAGTCATGGTGATGTCACAGGGCACGTATACTTTCCTGGCGTGCTTCGCCGGATTCTGGCTGGTCTGGGCTCTTATTGTAATGGTGTGCTGCTTCTGCAGCTTTGTGCAACGTAAGCTGAAGCGCCAGCGTGAGGAGAGGCTGCGGGAGCAGTGTCTCAGGGCCCTCGAGATGGAGCCTCTGGAGTGTACGGCAGCAGCATACCCTGCTAGAGAGACCCCTCAGTTCTGCCCGCCTCCTCAAATGATGTCTCCACCAGTGCCAGTCTCCCACACCATCCATCAGGGGAACTGGACCACACCACAAGGTAGGGTTCATTTGTGAACCTCATGCATTCCTTTCATTTTTAGTCTTTAGGCCAGAAACATACTCAGCGCAACCCAAACACAAATGACACTCCTGGTCAATGCATTGTAAACATGCGATCCCGCAGTACAAACTCAGTGTGCATTCTTACATTACTGAGGCTTTTAAAACAGCAGTACTCAAGGAGCTAAATAAAACAAAGTATCTTTGAACGAGCTCTACTTTATTCCAATAGCCACAACAATTGAACCATCACATCGTATATGTCATATGAGCAAACCAATTATGTGAGAGACTCAATAAACTGCTAGTCTGCCATGAGTGTTGACTGGGAGAAAGCTTGTCGGCGGTGCAGGATAGCTTGGCCAGGCTTGGCTTTCGCTGTAGCCTCCCTTGCTGCGACAGTCAAGATGGAGCTTGCACTTGCGGTGCATTATGAATTGCATCATGACGCATTTTAGAATGCATGAAACCGTATCTGCACAGCTCAAAGCATTCACGTTTGCGTTCAGTATGATTCTGGCCTTATGTGTTTAGACCTGATGAAACAAAGCAAGGCTTTAGTTTAATCTCTATTCACAAGGTCAGCAAGGTCTTGTTGCGTAGGCAGAGGAAGCCATGACCTGATTAGATAGACAGGAGGGCTCAGGCAACTCACTACACAAAGCTACTTCAAACAAAAAGACAAAATATGGATCCCTTTAAATTACACCAAGTACTTGCATAATTCCTAATGTATAGTTCCAACAAGACGCGGTGAGCTAATTGATTAAATACCTTTTTTGTTGAAATAGTCCTGTGCCCTAATAAGAGCAGTACTATCTAGTCTTGAATGCTCATGTGGGGCGTGCAGGAGAAAACGTCCACACCTCACACGGTGTTGGCAGCCTGAGCCGAATTCTTTCATATATGACATGGTAACAGAGAGCGGTGTGTGGGTTGTGAGTGGGCAGAGGAGTACAGCAGTGAGTTAGCAGCACCGAGAGAGCTGGGCTAATCATGCGCTCCTGCAGCCAGGCACAATGCCAGATACAGAGGATCCCGGGCCTGGGGCAAAGAATGTCCCTTTAAAGCAGGGCCAGACATACAGGACTGATGACCACAGATTAAGACAGGGGCTGAATAAGAAGTCAACTCTTCAAAGACTATAAGTCAGGAAGAATACAATGGTAAAATTCAGCTTTCACGGTATCTCAGGGGTTCAGAGTTGTGAAGGCATGCTGTGATTCTGCAAGAGCTAGCAAAGAACAGCGTGTGAATAATGTCCAGTGAAAACATTCTATGTGAAAGCTAATCTAAAACAAAAGTTTAGCTATAGTCTGTTTAGCACCAACTAACTTTAAGCCATGTTTGAAAGCATACATTATGAAACTAGCATCTGCTCTGAAAGCAAAATAGTTTTCCAGTAACGGTGTAACGATTTCACTCCATAATGAAAAATCTAATTTCAAACCATGTATTGAAATTTAAACCAGAGGGCAAAGTGGGCATGGTGGGGGAAGAGCTTATGTTACACATGCACATGCTAAAAAAACTGTGCTTTTTATAAACCAGTTATAAACTCTAGCAGTTATTATTTTGTGGTTTTAGTTGAATTGGAGAATGTTCATTTTTTCTGTGCCAAACCAGTCCATGTAGTATATAATTAAAGCTCTGTAGAATCATTTTTAACATACAAAATATCAAAAATCGAATTGAATCTTGAACCTCAGATCATGTCAAACTGGAAAACTTTAACAGAGAATTTAACAGAAATTTAGACGTAACAACTAAATATACTATCAAACATTTCAGTATTTAGTGTGTCCACACTTTGCCTTTATTACAACCTACATTCTTTTAAGACTTGCTTTCGGTGTTTCAAAGAAATCTTTGATATATAAGGATACTTTTCCACACCTGCAAAGTTTAGTCTTAGATAGGGATACATCGATACCGATATTGGTATCGGGTATCCGTCTGATAGCATGATTATTTAGTCGTATTCATACTTATAAAAATGCACCTATACCAACTTCAAGTTCAACCTGATACCATGCGCTAATGAACAAACGACTCAAGCTAGCACTGAACAAGGATCTGCTTGAACAAGTGTTGTTGACGCCGTGGTAGTCAGAGACAAAGTCATTGGTCACTTTAAACATTCTGCCTCAGCATATTCCCTGTGCTGTGTAATTTTGACCTGTTTTTAAGCACACACAAACATAATCACAACCACTTCCCCTGCATGAGTGAGTCACATAAGCTAACAAAACATGCAGTGTGAGCACCCACGTCGTAGCTTGTCAATCAGATCAAGCGTTTTGGTACAGTATGAGCATATAAATCATAAGCTTCAACCATAAATGATGTTCAAACGCACAGTGTGAGTTGTCACCAAAGAACAACATCTTTAAAATGCCTGGTTTTGGAGGCCATTCAACTACAGCTCAACCAGCCAACCAGCCAAAAAGATGTAAAACCACACAAGTGAACTCTTGCATTAGCCTCAGACGTGATTCCTGCTGTTGCTGTGCTGCAGAGGCTGTTGTTGAAAGGGACCAATGAGGATCAAAACTATGAAATGTACTTTACTTACAGCTGTAAGCTGTCTTATATCTAACCTCCTCAGAAATATCTCCTCTGTCATCTGGCTCAGCTGCCTGTGTGCTATGTGTTGAAGTATGAACTAAGATTGTCACTGAAAACAAAGCAACCAATCAGATAAAGCGTTCCTTTCATTTTGCTTCACATGAAAAGCCACGTGCAGCCTTGAGATTGTAACATGACAAAAATGTTATTCAGATTTCACCTGGTATCTTTAGGGTTACGTTTCCATGGCAACTTTGAGAGGTGCAGGAGAAGATACATTCCATTATAGTGTCCTTCTCTCATTTAAGATTTAATTTCTGAGGGTTATTAAATGCCTGGTTGCATAAAACACCTTAAGTTGAATTTTCCCATAAGATTACCCTTAAGTAATTTCTAAGGTTAAGTGTGCTGCACCAAAAATAAAACCATTTAGGGTATTACTTAAGGGTTTACTAAAGTGAAATCGTCATACACGCTTACATTTTCCCTCAATGATCAACCTTTTTTTTTTTTTTTGCACATTTTCATGACTCCTATCGAAACCTCTGGCATATTAGTCAATGTAGGGCTTCATGTTTTTTTTTTCAGAAAGAAATTAAATGTTGTTAGTAGCCATGCAATAATCCAACATATATCTTTGTTAAAAGAAAGAGTTATGTGAAGCTGTGAGATAAGCTTTACTCTGCTTGGCTCCACCTGTATACAGACTGATAGACATTGCAGTTGAACTTGGCTAAAGCCGCCTCCTTTGTCAGGAAGAGGATTGACTGGCATGTAAAACAGCCAATCACAGAGTGATTTTACACAACAACAGGTAGAAAATCGCAGAGCCATTCAAAACATTAAAAATACATGTATGAATCTTTGTTTGCGTCAAGTGTATTAAAAATGTTGATGACACATTTTCAGTGGAGTTTCCGCCTGGCGTGAGAGATATGCTGGCAGTAGTTATCAGACTGATTTTATGAGACTCAGTTAGTTTGGCTGCTACTGGTAACTTTTGTTAGTGACAGGAAGTTGATGCAATGGAATCATATCAGGAATTGTACAACAGTAAAACCTCAGTGACTATAGTAAACCCCTCAGCGTTTTCCCTCAGTTAAGAGAAACGTCTGAGGGGTTTTATGCAGCACCTTTAACAAATTCCCTTTGGTAAGGGAAAACCTACCCTTAAGGTTCATACTCAAGGGAAAAACTTAAAGTGTTTTTTGCAGCTAGGCACAGGTCTTCTATCTGTGGATCCGTAAGCAGGCATTCTCCGATTTTGGTTTGACTACATTTTAACTAAATCTACTCAGTATTAGGTTGTAGGTTGAAGTGTAGGTCCTGTTCCCTGGGTGTGAGGAACATTCAAAGCCTGTGCAAACCATTTTCAAACAAAGGAAACAGCATTTGGGTTTCCAAATAAGAGCAAACCACCAAAAGCTGTCCTTCTATTTGCTTTTTCCTGTACACTTGCCCAACTCCTACATAAGACTGAGTGTACTGATGATAATGGAGAGGGGCCAATAAACAAAGTGGTAGCGTGAAACTCAAAGGGTACATTTCGATCAGCTTTCATCTTTCAATCTTGCAAAAGCACAGTTGATAGACAAAAACAGCCTATGCAATTAAGGTTGAGCCAGATGCAGCCAAACATCAGCCCATATCCTTATCTCTGGCCTCAATAAGGTGGTTTATCACTTCCCTCCACAGGGGCCAATCCTAGCAAGCTTTCATCTGTTGGAGTGAAGGGTGACCTTGCAGAGGCGGATAAAAGCACTTCAGCCCTATCTGACTCTAATAAAAAAAATGCCAAGCGCTCATTTATGGTGCCTGATTTTCTCAGATAACCAATTTTTACATATGGACATCTTATCATTTAATAGATTTACGTCAGCATATTGTTCATCAAGTTTATAATCTGTTTTACTGACAAGGAAGTTTGTGTCTTCCTGTATATGCACATGACCTGGATATTGAGTATGAACTTCATAATCCAAACAGGTGGAGCACTCCATTTGAAAGTGTCAGCAATGCAGCTTCCATTGAATCCTTTATTCTGGACAGATAACATTATTTAAATAAAAAAAAACTATTGAGTCATCATCTTTTAGTGACTGATGGTGGTAAATTGGCTATTTCCTCCACTGCAGGTTAAACATGCTTCTGCGTGTAGGTCAAAGTCTTGCTGCCTACAAAAATCAGAGTGTCTGCTCAAATTATGGGTGCATATTTCTGTGAGTGAGATCAGCAGGAAACTTTTCACCAGATACTATAGTCTTGTGTGAATGCTGCTGGAATAAGCCACCTGGTTAGTATGGCTGGCCTGAACAGCAGTTTACAGGTTTCAGATGCTCAGTGTTTTCAAATGAATACCCAAATACTCATTCTCAAAACTACCCTTAAAATCAATGATATTTAAGTTTTATTTAACCATAATTTTTGGTTTGTTACAGCAGTATTCAAAATACATCTAGTAGACAGTAACAGTGTATCAATAGTGTATGTCGGATATGGCACAATTGAACTAAAATCAGACATTGGGTAAGGCATGTAGCCTACCAAGCATTAGTCAGATAAGGATCACAATGTTTCAGTGTTTTCATATTTGAGATGATTCATCAAACTGAAAAAAAAATATTGCTCAGTAATTCACAGTGCTCCCACACATGTGATTTCTTAGACATCTTTGCTATTTTAGCTTAAATGGCCAGGTGGAAAGCTGCACTTTGTTGCACTCTGTGGCGAGGTGCCGTGGATGCTTAGCATGAATTTATGATGCATTCCACTAAACCAGCTATAATTTATTTATTTATTTATAACATATTTATATACATACATATATATATATATATATATATATATATATATATAAAAAACGTATATATATCCAAGTTGCCTGCATTAACTTAAACCTGTTTTCTGTTTCACTGCAATCCCCTGATGAATCCAGTTCCTGCTGTCCCTGTTGACAACGACATCTGTGGGAAACCCCCTTGCTATGAGGAAGCAGTTCTAATGGAGGATCCTCCACCCCCTTACAGTGAAGTTCTTGCTGATCCCAGAGGAGGAACATACACTAAACCTGCACCACGTTCTTCCAGAGAGCACCAGGAGTCAGAAACCCGAAAGATGGCGCCACCCATGACGGTGTTCCCCGAACGTGGCTACTCCTCGCTCATCCGTCTGCCCACCGCCAGGCGCTGGGATTCCCTAGGACACCTGCTGTCCACCATGGACCTCAACCACAACAACCTGCCGGCAGAACCCCAGGCCTCGGCCATCGCCACCATGCCCCGCGAGGGCCGGACTCACACAGACCTGGGCCTGCGGAGCCTCAGGGGTTTGGATCACAATTACGGACTGCCCACTGCCTTCCCCCTTCTTGGCCGAAGTACGGCGGTGTGAAGCTCTGAACGTTTGGACCACTGTGGAGCACTTTCTGAGGCTAATGCTGATAATGGTGAGTCATTCCTGCTGTTCAGGAGACTCCAGCTATTGATCTGATGACATTTTCTCTCTTTTTTGGGAGCTGGGAGGCGAGAAGAGCTTATCGGAAGACTCAAAGGACCATTCCACTTTTCCCCCTCAATCTTGTATCTGTATGAGAAGATTATACAACAGATGTATCTCTCTCTAGCTCTCGATCTCTTGCTCCTCCTCTCTCTCCTGTGCTCTGTGGCATCCCTGCCTGATGCAGAGCAGCAGCTATTATGTGAGTGTTGTTGCCATGGCTCCCGGGAGCTGTCTGCAGCCCACCAACGCCTAGCCCCTTGCGGCCTCCTCTCTTCCTCTCTTTTCTTCTCGTCAGCCTCAGACTGATATTATATGAATGGCATTTGAAATCCTGTCTTTGTAAACTAGGTCTAGCACAGGGCCACAACATAGCAAAATGTCCATGGTCTGTACTGTAGCCATATCATAGCCTGGGTGCCAGATTTGCCAGTATGGTGGCGTATACCTTTCGGTTTACAGTCGCTAACCATTCTACTCAATGTTTGCAATCTTTCACTGTCTGGTTAATACTTGGTGAAGAGACCCCTCACTCTTGAACCTTATGGCTTTTGTATGTGGTATATTAAGATACATGGTGGATGTCGTAGGTCACTGTGACTTTTTAGGACTGTAATTGGTCCACTTCATCATAGTCAGATTCAAGGGTGTCAAGTTGAAGTCCTTTTCGGAGATGAGTGTTTTCCCTCTTCTAACACAGGGCTCCTCAACTTTAGTCCTGGGGACCTACTGCCCTTAAAATTTTTTTCCTGCCTAAACCAGTGTTAATCCCATCAATGAAAATGCTGATGGCTTTTTTATTTTTGTCATTAACAACAAGACAAAAAATCCACTCATTGCTGATTGCAGTGTCAGCTAATTGCTTAAACAATACTAGCTGTTTTGATTTGATTGATATTTCAAACCTATATGTGATGACATTTATTGCTTGCTGAAAGAGCAGAACATTTAGACATCAGTGGGCTACTGTGCTGTAATACATTGTCTTCATTTTACTTCGCTTATAACGTTTTTTGTAGAGTTACATCTCTCCATAATGCTAATACAGGTGGATGCAGACATTTTATAAGTGCTTGTGTATCAGTGTTGGCTAATATATACGTGAAAAATACTGGTTATCAGCAATAACCCATAACTCTGAATCAAGCTCAACTTTTAGCTGTTAGCCTTGTGTTCAGGTCACAAAAAAAAACTACAAACATGGCAGATTTGTATTGGATTAAAATGATGGTTCCTGTCAGTAATCACTCAAATTACAGCACCTCCCCAGGTAAAACTCCAGCTCAAATAGAGCTTTAGTAAATTGTAGTTTTACAATGACTTCAGTCAACTGAACCCAAAGCCTGTTAGCCTGTTAGCTGGCTGGCTGATACAGTAAGCGTAGCTGCTACCCTATTCCTCTAACTGTTAGCTAAATTAACAAGACATGAAGAAATGAACACTGGCCCCACCACACCTGATTCCACTTATAAAGGGCTTGATAATTACCAGGTGTGTTGTGCCAGGGAACACTTGAAACTACACAGGGCAGTGGGTCCTCAGCATTGGAGTTGAACCATTGTTCTTGCACACCAAATTCAACATTCCACAGGCTTTGCTAATTAGCTGAAGAGTTGAATATGTTGTGTTAAATGAGATACAGCGCTAAACTGCAGTGCTGTGGGCCTCCAGGACTAGAATCTGACACCTCTGCTGTAATTCAGTCTATTCAGCTCCCAGTTTAATTTTCATTATCATGTAAGGAACAGGCACCTCGGATATGATGGTTTCTGACTGTAAAGCAGCAGGTAAGCAAACATGCTGGCACAGTTTGACTCCCGGACTAGCTACATCATGCTGCTCAATTGTACAAAATGTACTTTATAAACTGTGAAATGTCACCTTGCTGCTTTGTCAAGGTAAACGTAATGAAATACAGAATTCTGCACAAGTTTTTTTTCCTCTCCCTGGAAGGATCTGGAACTTTTTTGAAGTAAGGCTTTCTCCAGAGTAATTGCCTGCTCTACAAGAAGATGTTCTGAAACTGCCTGGTAATTACAATTTGATAACCGTCTGGTGTCTTCATTTGCTTGGAATGTCTCCCACAGCTTTTAATTCATTACTCAATGCGGGTACAGGGGGAGACAGTAATGTTTTTTCAGTCATTTTTTCCATATTTTTTTTTTGTCAGTGAATACCAGTATCTCCCTCTGAAGAATTTCTCAGTCTGTTTGAAAACTTTTATAATGATGCAATTTTTCATCTCCCTTAATTTCCCCGACAGACTGATAAGTCCATTAGTGAGCCTCTCTTAAATAATGTGAATTAAAATTCATGGGCATTTCTTTTTCAACATGGCATGTTTTTATGAAAAATGACTGGCATAAGCTGCATTGAGACTGAACTTTGCTGCCTACAATTAATTTTACCATTTTCATTTGCAGTGAACGAGGTTTTCATGCTACATTATTATATCGTTGCTGTTACATCAAAAGTCCATAACTACTTTTTTTTCTCATTTATTTCTTTACACCATTTCAAAACACCAGCTGCCCTTTACATTGTATGAAGATATCATGATATAAATGGTCAAAGATTTCTTGGAATAAAATCTTTAGGGCTGGGATCACTTACCGCTTCATAGATAATTACTAATAACAGCCAGGAAGTTTTAAGTAGAATTTATCAGGTTTTCTTTTGCATTTTATATGCATTAGCGTTATGTTCCACTATCCAAACCCCAGTCCTGGTTTTACTTCATTTTTACACACAGCACTCAGGGCTTGCCCGATTGCAACACTGGCATGCTACTACGCAAACATCTTAAGAAGTAGCATTTTTATTCTTATTTAAAGTTTAATGTATATTTACCATCAGGTCTTTCCACAACTAGTCAAATATTATGGATGAAAATAGTGCAAGCAGTGTTTAAAGCACTGAAGCCTGAACACCCTTTTTTAAATTAAAAACAACATAGGAAGAAGACAAAAAAAGAATCCATTCAGTAATAAAGTTGGCACTTTTCTTTTGGCCAGTGGAAAGACGCACCAAAGACACAGAAACTGGGTAACAGCCCATTCTGCTAAAACAAAGTTCCCAATTTATTGATTTTGCAAAACTGCTTATCGTCCCAGCCCTAAAAATCTTCTTAAGAAGATTATTGACCAATTCAGAGATCTGAGGTTTTGTTACAATATACTTTTTTGCAAAGGATATGTGCTGAAATACTGCTTCCCAGTTCCCCTGTTAGTCATCACAGCAGTGGATGTAGTTCAGGGGCTGTTTGGTCTCCTTTTCAAATGGTGCTCCACTGTCCTGGTAGCAAAACATGATTTGGTAATGCAGCCCACATTTCTTCAGCGTAGTGATTGCTGCATTGTGGAGAGATTTCATTTTGTCACAACCGTCTTTTATTGCCATCGTTTCCCATCATGTCTCCCTGCCCTCGAATGACTCTACCTCACTCATCCTAATGGCTGTCTTTGTTAACATCTCAGCATATGAATGTTGCTTTCATGTGTCCAATAGGCACTTTCGAATGACATTTGATTAGTATAGGCTCCTTTTTGGAGGCCTGATCTAAATAACAAACAGCAGTGAGTGGGGTAATTAAGCAGAGCACATTTAACAAGATGCCTTTATGGCTGAACTGCTAGAACACAATGATCTTTTACTAAAGCGGAGGGAGGGATGCGAAAACTTATTTCTAGTATTGTGATTTTAATGCTCCTGCTGCATGTATTTATTTGAAGAGGATGAGCTGGAAGGTCTCCCTCCTTGTCACAGCTTGCACAGACAATTATGTAATCTAAAACCAGTGAAATTGCATAACAAAAAAGTGACTTGTTTTTTTTTCTAATTCTAGCTTGGGAAGGAAAGTGAGATGTCTGGTTGTTTTTGGGTTGACCAATCTCAAAAGTTGCATCCACATTCAAAGACAACAGCCCTGAACTGATAAAAAGGAGAACACTGAGTACCCAGATCTGAAAGATTTGGTCCTGACAAGCAAGGCTACAGTACGTTTCAGTATTCATAGCCAATGTTCAGTAGCCTATTTAGGAGATACTGTGTATATACATTCAGAGAAGACATATATATATTTTTCTAGCTTAGATAATAAAAGGCTCAAGGACAATCAACAGAATCAGCTCTTAAGGGCACCTCGATGCGAGTCAGTACAAACAGCGGTGTCCAAATGAACTCAAACAGATCATTAGAATGACTGAAGGTGAAGTGGGAATTACAACAGTGCGTATTCTTGTCCCACGCTGGTTTTTAATCTTTTATTTTTGAATGTAGTCCGCTTCTATTATACTGTGCTTCTATTTTCGCTGCCGTTTTGAAATAGTTTGGTCTGCTTTTGGTCTGAGAGAGAGAGCGAGAGAGAGAGAGAGAGAGAGAGAGCGAGAGAGAGAGAGAGGAGGAGAGGCAAAAGGCAGAGGTGTAAAGTGTCGTTCCTCTGCCAGCGTGTTGCTAAGCGACCAAAACAGAGCGCGCTGAGTCTGTTTACATAGAATAATAAAAGTGAACAGCATCTATCCATCCGTCCATCCATCCATCCATTCATCCATCCATTAATCTCACGGCCCTTTCGTGTTCACCCTAAGTGGATTGTGTGCCACAAATAAATGAACGAGATGTGCTCCGAAGGGGCCTCTCATCGCTTTGCCACCCCTTCACTGTTATTTTTAGTATAAACTTCCTTTGTCGCTGGGGACACCCTTCTCTTTTGTTCTGTCAATCATAAAATGGTTTATTGAGGTTTTATGCCATCCATAGTTTATTTTAGAAGTCTAAGCATGCTGGGTATTTATAGTCTGTTTTAGGGCATTTTTCCACTGCACTGTGCTTTTTCCGTTGTATCGACGGTTCCAGTTAAAGAGTGGTAGCGGTTACAAACAGGATCTAATGGTACTTGAGGGCATTCACCTGTCGTTGGTAACACTTGTACCCAACAACATATAGCTAGTGGACTTCTTTCCTATTCCAGATAAGAATAAAGTCACCAAGCTCTATTATGTGACCCATACGAGCACCAAAACACAAACTAGAATGGTATCTTGGATCCTTTGCTATTTATTGAATTATTTCTTTGAAAGGGTTTGCTCAGGTGAGCTAGTTAGGAGTAGTATTTTGTTAGCCTTAACAGAATGAGTGTTTTTGCTCACACTTAGCAGAGAAAAATATAAAGTTTGCTCGACTATATACTGTCTGGAATGTTCCAGCTGTCTCTCAAGAAAGCTGAAAAAAATAAATAGAACTGCAAGGTCTGTTGGTTCCCCTTTACATCAGTTCTTGTTTTTGAGTTCAGTGGAAAAACGCCCTTAGAGTGGGTTGCACCAGCAAAGATGCAGAAAAACAGAGTTTAGAGATAATGAAACATTTGTCAGTCCAGGATTTATTTTAAAATGTGTTACATTTGTGTTACATTTTACTTAATATTAAACATGGATTAATAAATTTGCTGTTAAAGCCTTAATCTGCTGTTTATTTTGATTGCCTGAATGACAGTTTAAATGTAACCCTGATTACTTTCTTCAAACTAGGTTTGAAGTTCAGCACAACTGGATTAATGGATAAACCTTGATTTAATCCAAGTTTAAGCTTAACCATTATTTGGTGCTACCCACCGTTACAGTGAAAGTGCAGCTAAGGATGTTAAAGAAACGGTTTGACAAAAAATCTAATTCACACAATTTCCCCCGTAGCTCAGGGGAAAACATGCCAAGACATGTTTGGTGTATGCTTCATTTTGGACTGAAGGAAAAATAAGTGGATAGAAGTAGAGACAAAATTCAGGCTTCAAGATGGCTGCTACTGTTTTTATCTACGCAACTTTTGTGCATTTTTGGAGATAAAAGTATTGAATACAGTGTCAGAAATGACATAAACAAGAGATTATTGAAGAACTCGCCATGGATTATTGAAGGTGTGTGATGACTTAGGCGTGCTGTTAGCACAGTGCTAACTAAGGGTGTATAAACATATGCTAGCTACATTAACACAAACCTCACACTTTTGGTGCAAAACAAGAAACACACTTCATTTGGGGGTGAGGGAAACTTGTGTAATTTAATTTTTTTTCCAAACTCCTTTAAATGAATCACTTGTAAGTTTACAGGCCAGCCATTTTCCTTTCTTTCACATGACCTGCGAATGGCAAATTGTGAATGTACGCCATGCAATGTTTACATAGCTTGCAGTGTGTGCTTGATTTGTGTGTAAACACATGATTTGCCAGAGCTCTGTGCTAATTCATAGCTGCTATGTATTGATACCATGTCTTTATGTAAGAAACCTTTTTTTTCTAGAAGCATACATTTGATTATACATCGACTGGACTGACGTAAGACAGTGGAATCTGCCTCTATTGAAAATAAAACTGAAGATAAAATAAGAAGAAGGATAAAAAAGTTATTTGGACCAGTGAACTAACTGGAGGGTTTTTGAAATCTTTTATTAACATACAGAAGCACAGCATGTCACAAAAGATCTTGTGCTTGTTTCAAAAACAGCAAGTGAGAAGCGGACGGAAAAAGGGAAGAGATAGAAAAAAAATAATAAAAAAGAGAGAGAAACTTCAGGAGTTGCTAAGCCTTGCTTCAGGGACAAAGGGGAAATTGTAGTAGTATAGTACTAGTAATAGTAGCAATAGTAGTGGTAGTAGTAGTCTCCTAGTAGTGTGAGAGGGAGAAAGAGCATAAGAATCACTACCAAGGAGGTCGGAGGGTGAAGATTACATTAAAATCATGTCAAAAGGGCCTCGGTTACTGTTAAAGATGCGGGTTGGCTCCCCTTAGCAGTCCACTTTTTTGAAAACATCCCGTCTTAAGAAACCCCGTCCAGTCCTATGCCAGTATTTGTTTTACAGGCCGCAATCACATACATGTTAATCACTGTAGCACTGTACTGACAGTACTAACATTAGAATTAGACCTATTTACAAAACAATACTACATTGGTTTAGTATTATTGCTTGCTTATTTCACTCAGAACATTTGCAAAGAAAAAAAAGTTTTCTAAACATAAAACCGAGGCCTAGGATCTCAGTACCATGGAACAAGGGTTGAAAATACAACGATACGGAAGACTGTTTACAGTCAAAGCTATGAAAGAGCTTTAATTTTAACATAAAGAACAAGCAGTCCAAATCAGATACATGATACGTTTACCAGCAAAAGGTTCCATGTGGAAATTACTTGAGCTTGTGTTCATCCATGTCAGGTTGTGGTTTGGATTAAAGGAATGTTCTCTATTTGCTAACCTGTTTGCTGCATATGTATTGTATTGTTGATTACCTTGGACAATAATTTTGACACTTTGACCTAAGGTATTCTGGTATCCATGCACGATCCGAATGGGGTCTGTGAAAGCCCCCCCTTGCATAACTATGCAGGTTTTACCGCAAAGTCTTCCCTCTGGAAAAAAATGAATTGTACTGATTTACAACCATTGACTGATAATTTCATGCAAGTATTTATTTTATTAAGTATGAATTTAGCAACTGCTATTGTAATTGGCTTCTACTATATGTGTATTTTACTAGTTTGCCTTCAATATACTGTTGCAGAATGAGAGGAGACTGTATGCCTGAAGGAGGGAAGAGCACACTGAGAACTTGGGCTGGAGTTCTTGGCGGCTTTTGCTTTAAGCAAGAAGGCCGGATCCCCTTTTGATAAACAGAGGTAGGAGAGACGGGACTGAGGAACAGGGAGGAGGTGGGGTGTGAAAACTTAATCACAGGAAATGGGAGGGATAGTTGAGGTGGACAATTCATAGGATGTTAGATAGTAAGGAGGAGGAGCTTCATACATGGTCCTCCTTCCAAACTCCATGACTCCATTTTGAGTAAATGGTGTTAAATACAAGGAATCATGTCAATTACTGTGTGTGGAAATCGACTGTGTGATACAGACTTGACAGATAGACATCAGGCTGAAAAATGTTGCTGTATTTCTTTGAGATTATTATCCATTATGAGTTACTGAGAAAAAGAGACTGACAGTCAAATAATATTCAGTAGGATGCCTTTGAGGGCACCTATACTTTTAAATGTATAGTTATTGGGGGTTTAAATCAAGTGGAGAGTGACCTTTCTTTGGATTAGGGAACTAAAACTAAAGTAAATACAAAATAAAGGACCCAGAGTAAATTTTACTGTCCTATAAAACCTTAGCACAAGATGTACGCACATATACATACATACACCCATACACGCACATATGCATACAGCCACATGTGCATTAAACAAATTTCCCAATTGTATCTCTTCTAAAATAGTTATTGCCTAAGTTAATTGACAAATTGACGCTAACGCTATTGCAACCGTTAAAAAAAACTCATAATACCATGTTGTATACATTTCTCATATGTAGTCAAAATATACATATGCCACCTGGTTCTAAGTCCTAAAGGTCTTTTACACCAACACAATAGTGTGAAAACATCAAGATATTGAAAACAATTGGCACGACACAAAAATAGTTTCAAATGACCTTTTTATGTTTACTTCTCTAAAAATAATGTCTTCATTTGAGTCTAACGGCACCCACAAATCCCAAGTCTCACTAATCCTGACACGCTTTCACTTATAGTGTGAGATTTAAATACACAGAATTAGAATTGGTAGACACTCATATACAAAGAACACTTTGTCAACATGCCAGTGGTGCGCGTCTACTCATTCTGATTCTGCTTGAACAGTCCGAGACCAAATATGATGTCAAAGCCAAGGCCGCTGCAGGCAGAAATTCAGCGTACATCTTTTATGATTGAAACAGGCAAGGCGCTCGTTACTAGCCTGAGCAACTACTAGGGGAAGTACTGGACTACCTTGGCCACAGGCTGGACAGGCTAGAGCTAAGAACCGCCGAGGCTTTATGTCCTTCGTGGTTCTGACACATGACTGAAAACAGGACGCTCTATCTGCTACTGGTCACACCTGTTAGGCACAGGGAGTCAATACAACACAGGTGAGCACTAAATACACACTGTGCTATAGTCTGCATAGCAAAAAAGAGAAAAGAAATAAATAATAGCACGCATACACCCACGCACGCTCGCGCTAACTAACCAAGAGCGCTTAAACCCATTGGCATCTTTAACAATAACCCATATCCTTTTTAGTGGCTAAGATTTTTTGTTTGTTTGTTTTTGTTTCCCTAAAACAACATACAGATTTTCTGATGCAAGACTTGTAATAACCTTTGCAAAATTGTTTTCTTGAATGCGTAGGGCACTCCCTTCCTCTGCGCTTAATCGTCATCGTCCATCACGGGGTCAGTGTCCCAGCATGTGATGTCAATTTCTGTGATAAGAAAAATGGATGAGTTTACAGAAAGGAGGGCAAACAAAAGTGGAACATGTGTGTCAAATGAACCTGGAACATAATGGCACTCTCAGTTGCTGTTCATTTTATCTAATGACATGAGTACCTGTGTGCACAAAACTTCTCAGATTAGGAGTGCTGATCTAAGATGTGTTCCTATCGGTAAGATGGTTGTAAAATAAGACATAAATCTGATCCTAAATCAGCACTCCTACTTTAAGAACCTTTGTGAATACGGGCACAGGACTCACTGCAAGGTCTCACAAGGTCTTACCTGGTGGTTTGTTATAAAATACTGGCGTCGGATTCACTTTTGCAGAGCACTCGTCAGACTGAGCGAAATCCTCCTCCTGTGACTGGCTGAAGTAGCCTTCACTCGCCTGTCCACAACCACTAAAGCCTCCATCCAAACATAACACAAAATTAAAGCTTCAGTGAACAACAATGTCTTCTCTCAAAGGTTAATGAACTGCCTTCCTGCTATAATCACGCCTGTATCATTACAGAACATGGTTTGTTGCCATCTAGTGGCCCAGTAAATAAATGGCCTAATTAGTTCAGTAAACACAGAGAGCAGTAAGGCATATTTACAATACCTGCTGTAGAAGAAGAAAACAAATTCAAAATCTAAAGGTTAGTTCTGGGCTAACATTTATTCAAATAGGCAGAAAATCAGGACTGCAGAAGAAAAAGTGCTGAGGGCTGAGAGGATACTCAGGTATAGACACTTAGGCCCCTTAAACTGCAGGCTTATTATTCTGTTTTTAATCTTAAGACTTATTATTCATCAACTATGATAAATCATTCAGTAATTACTAAGAAACTAATATGTAAGTTATGTAGTTGTGAGAATGGGGAATTGAACTGTCCTCTCACATAATATTGTGACTAAACTTTGGTCAAACATGCGAAAGTTTGACTATCCCTGGTCACATGACATGTTTTGTTGATTTTCTAAGTGACAATAAAGTTATAAATACAACCTCTACAGGGAACAAACTTAAATATGGTACTTTCAGTGCACAATATTTGTGGACAATTTCTATTCATGCACTGATTTTAACATGTTGGAAAAAAATCTTAAATGTGCCGTAACTTTTGCACGGGCCCTATTTTACATTTGCATTGTTTCCCAACATGTTAAGTACAGCAAACCAGGGACACCCAAACTTCTGCACATCACTGTATATCAGTTCATATATATATGCTGCACTGACCTGAGTCCCTTCTTTGAGCAGTGTGTCTCCATTGGTCATCAGCAGCTGGCTGTCGTCCAGCTCCTGGCTGTCAGAGCCTGAGGCGTGCTGCAGGGCCTGCTGGTAGCTCAGGGTCATCTGGTGTGGCCCAGCCACGTCCACCAAGCTGGAGGGGTCATCCTCTGGCCCGGGGCAGAAGGTGGTGTCTGGTGTCTCATCAAAGCTGAGCAGAGGCTGAGGCAGGTTGGGGGAAGAAGCGGCCTGCAGAGGCTCTGGAGTGTCGCCCATCAGGTCCATGATGTGAGTGGGCTGGGACGGGGAGGCGGTGGGCGGTGGGTCACTCTCCCACAGGTCCAGCAGACTGTCCTCTGAGGGGTCTGTGGAACGAGCCTGAGGGGCCACACTCTGAACAGGTTTGTTCGGGCCGGACTCCTGCACTGGTGCTCGCTCTGGAGACTCAGGGACTGCAGGAGAGCACAGGACATTCATACATCTATTACATTTGTGGCACTATACACTGCCTGTCAGGAGTTTGGCTTATTTTTACATTTTCAGTGTTACTTTCCAAACATCCCTTTATACTGCAAAAGCCTGTATACGGACACACACTCCAGATTAAATATTAGTTTAATAGTTTTTACCTAATAAATTATAGTAGTTACTGAATAGTGAGTCTTAAGATCATTAAGTCTTATTACTATGGATAATAGATCTGCAGTTTATGGGGTTATGTAAGAACAAATGCCTGCAAAGAATATATTCACGTAAAACAGCTATTTGCTAAAATTTTTGGTATCTTTACACTAAAAAAAAAGATGTTCCTTGAGGTATCTTCCTTGGTATAAAGAGTAGATGTTTCCTAAATAATGAATTGACAGTCCCCCTCCTTCCCCCGCCTAACTTTTGTTAAAGAAAAACTCAGGCACAAATGAACAACGAAAACAACACTACCTCTATTATAAACATGTCTACTCGCATCCCACAGTGGTTCTACAGGAGTCTCTAGAACAGGATTTTCCTGTTTAAAGACTAGAAAAATCCTATCTGATTATCTATCTTTAAGGTGGGAGGGACTTTCGCAAAACTACTTTAGAGGGTGAAAAAATGCTTTGGGGTGAATTTTTGGCTTTGTGAATTTATTTATTTGTTTACTTATTTATTCATTTATTGATAGCTGGCTACACAGAAAGAAGACAGCTAACATTACCATGGAGAGAAATGCTTGCAGGGTAGCCACCTGGCTAAGTAGATAATTTACCTCACTTTGGCTCCTGCCAGCTTTGCTGTATTTATTAGTCTTCAGATCAGAGGCTAGGCTAGCAATCAGCATTTGTTGAGCACTGTAGGGATTCCTAATGGTTGTACGCTTTTGTGTAATGAATTGTGGTGAGAGAACACTGATGAACGAAAACGTGAAAATGATACAAAATGATGATGCAATTCTGCGCTCCGGAATACTGCAGATCACGACAAATATACCAAATGCAGTTTTAGGCCAAATGCTTCTTTACAAGCTCGTATTAGAACAATATTCTGTCTTGCTGATAACAGCTCAGTGGACACACTGAGCTCTGGAGTCTAAGTATTTTGTGAATCTTTTGTCGAACATCTGCAGAATATTTCTAGGTTACCCCCCAAAATAACAGTCAATCTGTAGTGTTTAGTTTATTTTGCTTCATCTTGAGGGAGTGCTGATGGCCTTATAAAAGATATTTACCGGCATGCGTCCTTCCTGCTCTGATAATGAACAGTAATTTAAGCCTCAGTGGAGCACTTTACCACAGGACACCAAACTGTGCAGCCAGGGCATGCAAATAAGAGCTGAGAAAGCCAGTGAGCTGTGAAGGCAAATGAAGCCTCGGCAAACAAATGAGTCCCAGGCCGTGTCATTTAGGCCTGTTTGCTGGAGAGAGATGATCGGAGGGGAGGGGAGCAATAACATCCTCCCAGCTGTGGAGCTTATTAAGCAGACTGGAGGCTGCTTCATATGTCCTGGAGGGTCTCCACTAACTAATCAACCCAGCCTCAGGAGGCCGCAGTGAGATTTTTACATCAACTGCTAAAGCACCTAAAATGCTGAATACTTAAGATGTGTTTATTATAATCAACAAATATATCTGGTATTCCAGACTTGTATGTCTTTCTATGGTGATATGCTTAGCCTTTTTCATGAAACTGTAAGAGCTGGTGCTGTCCAGGGGATTGGATCGCTGTTCTACTTCATTGTAGGCTTCTTTAGTTTCTGGGTTATTGCCTTTTTTATTGGAAAACAAACAATATCCAACCTCTACAAGCAGGAGGCAGTATGTTCCAGGGGAGACACAAAAATGATGATGCTGAGAATGTAATATAGCATTTTGTTGATACAGCTGTTTTTACCACAGTTGGACTAAGTTTAAATAAGAGTAATATAATACTAGATTTGCACAGAAGGCTAACTTTTACCAGTACAAAGGGACAAGAAAGTTCATGTGAAAAAGCTGTCCTCTGATATTAATATTGGAATAACGTGATCTGTGTTACTGATATTGCCTGTCCTAGGAAAGACATATTCTCTATTTTCATGGATTTAAACCTTGCACTGCTGCACAGCTTAAATCCATGCCATCAGGATCAAGAAAGTCTAAAGAACTTTGATTTTCAGTAGTGATGCACCAATATGGGTGTTGTGGGGGCGATGATGATATTTGATATTTTTCATGTACTTGTCTGCCAAAGTTGATAACATACGCATTTATAAAATGCAGAAACCAAGATAAGTCTACCCGGGATTAGCTTTACTTAGAAATGTGACACTTATTTGTAGAGGGTTAAAAAGGCAGTAAAATGGATAAAATGCAGATACTTCAGTACAGTAGCCCATCACCGCCTAAACATTCTGCTGTTCCGGTGTACAAAAAATACATCAAATATGATTATAATATGGGTCAAATCTGTCCAATGCCGACTGTTTGAAGTAAATATCTTTGAAGTAAATATCAATCATGATATGATTCCGATATTATGGTGCATCCCTATTTTTAAGGCATAACATCCTGGTGTTGTTGGAATAGTTGGCAAAAAAAATCAAATTTACACAATTCTCTTCTAACCCCAAATATGGTCGACCAGCCACGACTCGTTTTACACATCTACTGTCCGATGTTTATGTCTTAAGTTTGGAATTGCAGCTATGGGGGTAATACAGCTAAGTAATGAATGCTTATAGCCAGTGATTAGCACTGTCAGGGTTCCCACTCTTTTTCTCACCAGTACAAATTCCATGACTTATATACACATCAGCTCTTGCCCATGAAATTCGATGCACTACCTACCAACAACTTTTACATTAAAATCAACAATAATGACCCTTAACTGACTGATCAACCAGTCATCATTTGATTACAACTTTAAACAATACATGCTGCAGGAAGATGGTCAATGTAGCCTCTTTGTACCAGGCTTTCCAACACAGCGTCCATATATCTGCCCACATGTGACACAATCCAAACTACAATAGGTATGAATGGACACTCAAACTGGGCATTAGCAGTTGAAAATATGCTAAAATATGCCAGAAAGAATATGCTAAAATATGCAATTGTGGTGGCTTAATGGACTAACTTTACACTTTTCCAGGACTTCACTAATGTTTCCAGACATCAATATTCTTATTTTCCATGACTGCATAACTAGTCTACATTTCCAGGTTTTCCAGCATGTGTGGGAACCCTGCACTGTGCAAACTGCATGCATAAGTCATTACCCAGTTGCCCCAGTTGTTAAGTAATCCAAAACAGACTTGCTTGTGTAGTTTTCATCACTGTATACTGTTATCTATAAAAACTGTGAAAAACTATAGCAGTCGTCTTGAAACCAGCTTGCATTTATGCAGGCATTAATTGCATAATGCTAAATAATGAGATAACTGGGGGCCTTGTGACGTCGTAGCTTGGCTGAATTTGGGATAAGGGGAAGATTGTGTGAATTTGATTTTTCACTAATGTCCTTTAAAGCGAACTCTTTTGGTGTAAGGCCTTACCCCACTCCTTACAGCTGGTGTCCTCTTTATCTTCCTGAATGGCGATTTTGGGAATTGGTGTGGGGGACACAGCTGCCATGTCTGAGATGCCTTCAGCAGAGTCATCTGAGACATCAAAGGGAGAGTGAACTTTTAGTGCAAGGACACGAGACAATAACATCGCCTCACAAACGGCATGTACAAATGCACCAGTCACAATATTACCACAGTGCTGAAGAGGCTGATTACAAACAGTCTGCACAGCACACCAAGTATTCACAACAGCAGCAAGCAAGTGTATTCTGTCACAATGTCTCTGGCCCCTTTCAGCGCCAGCACAACTCAAATGTGCCAGAAGAGAAAGCTGTAAAATACATGCAGAAAAATGCACCTGGAGAAGCACAAGGAAAAGCCAGAATGTGGGGGAAAATACTGATTTACTAAGAACAAATGTACACTCACAAAATCAACATTCCATTCATGCAGGTGCTGCTTCACACAGCAGAAATGTGAAGATTTCATAAGTAGGTAGCACCAAAGCGAGTGATTCTCACAGTATTCAAAAGAACCAACGTATAACACGCTCAAATGGATTTGTTGCATTAATTTTTGGCATGAAATACGCAGTGACAGACTGTAAAATTCTGATATTATGCTTCTATCTGGCTCATTTCAAAGTTCTCGAGGGAAAAACACAATGTATTAGTGATGGATTGCTGAGGTGCTGTTGTAGAACCTTGTATTTCCTACAGACTAAATTTAGAATTCTGATAATAAGTCTGCTTTAAAAACATCAGAGTCGGTAAGAAACACAAGGCTCTAATAAGAAATAATGGTGCCAAAGGTTCCAAAAATGTCCATGCAAACAGACTGTGATGTGATGTCTCCACAATGTTCCAGCTCCATGGTTAATCAAAAGAAAAACAATTATTTGCACTGGAATCATACTCAAAACAACTCTCAGTTGTAGCACATGTACCATTCACGTGTCCATGTCCAAGCACCAATATGCGGAAAAACAAATCGCTGTGAAAACCTCACATAACAGATGATGGAAACAAACTGACCATGATGATGGAACACAGTACCACAATACATTAACCAACAGAACACTTTCAGGAAAGGTGCCAACCACGATTAAAATACATGATAACTACTGATCTTATTTTACATAGGTACACTACTGTTCAGGAGTTTGGAATCATCTGTCATGATAATAATTTGTGTGATTTATATACAATAATAACATATGAAGGGTTTCATTCCAAAACACATTCTAGACTACTTTAAAGATTTTTTGTCATGACATCTGTTGTTAGGAGTGGGCTTTTACATACAAGACATATCAAAACTATATTATTATTATTATTATTAACCTTTATCAGAAAAATAAACATGTTTTCTGTTACACATCAGCTGTTCTTCTTTTCAAAAACTTGTTACATTCAAAACTGTTACAAATATTTCATATACAGTGTATATCAAAATATTATAAACTAGTCACCAAGAAGTTTTTTAGATGCTTTATTTAATATTTGAAGTTTTTTTGGGAACAATAATAAGTTATTAATTGATAATACTGCTGTATTTACATCTTTATAGATTTCTTGCCAAGTTATCTACATCAAGATTTGATCACCACTTTGCAGATGTGCTGCATTCTGGATATTAATTTGGTTATAACTTTATTCTCAATGTTATACAGTCATTTTAGAACCCTCTTCTGCTCTGGATATATGTAAAATCTCATTTCTTTTATCAGCTTTCAACAAAATACCTAACTTACAAAGTTTTAGAGTAGTAGCATCATATTAGAGCCATTCATACATATATCTGCAACAAAATAATGTACACTACTGAAAACAGTGATTCCAGACTTTTGAGCAATAGTGCAAGTCCTGCAAAAGAATAGGTCTTAGTAACTGTGACAAGATACAGCAAGTTTGTGCATGTTTGTTGGGGCCAGTAGGGGCTGCCGTTTTACGTCACAGAGAACACAACACTGCCTGGTGAACTCGAAGAACACCAGGTGAACTCTACAGAGGTCACAGAGGTCACATACACAGTAACAGTTACACAAGGCCCACAGCACATAAGCTGGAGGGTGCGGAGAGCACGAATGCAGGCAGAGCTGCACTACACACACACACTCACAGGTCAGGAGGACATGGGGGGAAGTGCAGGCAAGGGCCCACACCATCCGTCACAGGAAGCATGGCAAAAGGAGGGGAAGCAAGGGGAACATTGTAAGATTCAACAGGAAACTGGCCTTCCTGCTCTACGAAATCAACTTCTGATCCCAAAGGATGCCAGTGTCTCTGTATATGAGGGAGGGAATGTCTGGTTCTGTAGTATCAATACATCTGATACTGTCATTTCATAGAAATACAGATATCTGATGTACTACACCAGTTCATCCATCGTGGGTAAATGGTTATAAACAGAATCTTTCAAAACCAAAAATCCTGAGACTGGGCAAGCTACAAGTCAAGTGGCCACCGTTGAAAATAGAATGGTGAGAAAATACAGCCGTGAGTACCCACTGCACGGCTTTAACTGTGTGTGAACTGAAAACATACAACTAACGCTTGTCATATGCGCTGAGTTTTGTCAATTGAAGCTTTGAATTTACGCCATCACTCAGAGACTAAACATAGCCAGTATGCATCTAGAAGTATGCATCTAAAATTTAAATGAGCCAAACGAAATTAGCAATTTTCCTCACTTCAGCCAGCACTCTCATTGGGTGAGTCAGAAATAAAACGGGTCGGCTAAGTCTTCTTGTGGGCCACAGAAGCTTTTGTGGTCAGGTGTAAAATGGATGCATTCTGCACATTCTACATGTTATGCATGAAACAGACGTAGGGGTCTAAATACACAGTTTAAACGCAAAATACGTTTCTATCTCTCATACATATATATTTGATTGAGAATCGAACAGAAAACGGGAGGAAATATTGGACATCTGGCTGATTACATATTCCACTCAATTTAAATTTGAACTCAATTCAAAGTTTGAACAATAATTTTCTCCACTTTTAAACATCCAGTGTAAAGTTGTAACAGTGTCTCAATGGCAGCACATACACTGACTAGACAGAGACTTGAGTCTTGAAAATGTTCTAACAGAATAACACTAAATCAACTCTTAGAATCTCAGATGTATACATGTGAGAAGACACAGCACAAAATATGCTTTGATGAAGCCACAATATGTGCTTGCAGTTCACATTACTGTTTCCCAAATTCTTATTTTCTTAGCTGGAGTAAAATAACAACCTTGTAGGAAGTTTTAGTGAGAAAATGACTTCATTAACGTATTTCTTCATTGCAGAACTTTGTAAATTAAATGTTAGTTTCAGAACCATTTTGAGCACATATTGTGGTCACATCAAAGTACATTTTGTTCTCATATGTATATCTGGCACCAAGTGTTTTCTTTGACCAGTATTTTTTATGTATTTGGTTTAAAGAATGTGCACTGAATTTGAAGCAGACAAAAAAGACTGCAAAAAAATAAATGTCTAGGGTAACATATTCTCAGACAGGGATTATCCATATTAAAATAGGCCTAGCACTTATTTTTTATGATTTTAATGATTTAACACCTGTACTTTCATGTACACCCATTATTTTTTGATAAGTGTAATCAATAATAGATTGATCAATAGGCAGATACGGGCTTTGACTGGACACTAGACTAATGCAAAGACTTTTAAACAATTTCTACATGTCTACATACCAATATTCACTGTAGAAATCACAAAGTGTGCCCTTTTTATGTATACAAGAAGTTTCAAATGTAGTGATATCTGTATCAATATTAGTACCAAATATTAGCCTTGATATTAGTACAAGATCGACTATGGTGTTGCCCATCCCTACTAAGTCCATGATAAATGCTTCAAATGGACAATTCAAACATCAGCTCCTCCAAATTGTACATAGCTCAAAAGACAACGGGTATAGCACACATATGCTGACTGGAAACCCCAACGAAGATGGCAGAATGGATCAAATGGAGTCGTTGTGGTGAGATGATAGGCTCAAAACACTGAGAAAAGACTATATCTAGGGTTGGTTAGTACAGAAAAGGATTTAAGCTAAGAGATGTAAAAGCAGCCTGACTCAGCGTCCCTCTGAAAAGCTGTCTGGACATTGTCACTCTCTGATATAAAAAAGGAAAGTGCTTTTATCAGGAGCTGTCATCTGCAAGCACATCGCTCCAAATAAAGAAGGTCCACAAAGAGCCCAAATTTTCAAGGGAAAGATATACCGCTACGGCTAAGCTAGGCTTTTAACGCCAGCTGCTAGGACTGTCTGAGTAATTTCATGACACTAACACACTTATCTGTGGAGAGGTCTATTCTGGGAAGAAAGGTATCCTTAAAATAAGAGCTGTCAGATCCACTCCAGTGAGTTTTAGCTTCAACCTTTATCAACCAAACCTGATCCAACTTATTATCATTATTATCCAGAAGTCCCTGATTAGCTGGATGAGGTGAGATTTGGGTTGGTAATAGGGCTGCAACAGTTATTGCGATACCAGTATTAGCACACAAACCACAGTGATGGGCAAGTCAACACCATGACTGGATATTTCCGCATTTAATTTCTTTGTTTTTTGTTCTTTTTTTTTGGGGGGGGGGGGGTTGCAGTTGTGTTGGGGCTACTTTTTGAATTTTGAGATGCATAGTGTGGGGTATGTGGCATACGAACTAATGTGCTATTATGTGTCTATTTCTTATACTGGAATTTTGTACATATGCTAGTCTAATATATGATTTGTTTGTAAGCTGTTTTATGTTCCGTGCAACAAGGTTATATTTTTATGTTTTTGTATGTTGATATTTATTCAATATCAATTATTTCTCACTTTTAGCCCAATTCAACACGTGGAGCAATTTTGTTGAAAATGTCTATTCTAAATTTTTAATTGATATCACATTTGTGTTAGTCATCTTCTCCATTTTTGCCAGTTCTTTACACTGAAACAGATCCTGCAATTATCTCTGTCGTTCCCAGATTATGGCGGTGGTATTGCATATTGTGGCACCAAAACACTGCAGTGCAGCAGCCCTAGATGGAGGTGTAAGCTGTCCAAGAGTACAATCAGTGATCACTGCTTTGGGAAGTGATGCAGTGGTGTTGGGGAGCAAAGGGGCCTGGGGGCTTTCAGGGAGAAACAGGCTATTGGCTAATGCCGGTGCTCCAGCGGCTGGTGAAGCTGCTCTCAGTGAGGTCCAGTACCTACCAGGTGGCCCTGGCTGCTGCCGCCGCACATGGGGCGGGGTGCGAGGGGGGGGCGGACTGGGCTCACATGGACTGTGCTGCTGCCTCAAGAACGGACTGTCCAAGCGGCCTGGTAGACAGAAGACAAGGACGCCCAGGGCAGGACACACCAACAGCCACGCAAACACACAGCGACGAACACAAAGGAAGGGCCAGCAAAGGACAGACAAAAGGACATGGAGAACGACAGAAGGGGGGGTGGGGTGGTCAAGAGAGTTAGAATAAGTGAGGGTGAGTTGGTGGATGATTCCAAGTGGACATGATTGTTCATGAGTGTGAACAAAGGGACAGAAGCGCCAGGTGGTTAGTTTTCAGCGGGTTATATGTTGAAGGTCAGTCAAGGATCATCAGGAAGACATGGAATGCGGTAAAAAAAAAAACAATCCAAAAGAATGAATTCGTAACCAAAAAAGAGGGGTGAAATGAATCGCGGAATAGGGAAATATTGGGAGGGAAAAAAAAGAGAAAAGGAGAAAAAGTTGTTAGCGGGATGTCTTCACACCCTGCAGAAATAGTAGGCCTGTCAGACAGTCATGTGTGCACTTCTGCTGAGAGCTCTCCCCAGAGCTATGCAGTGATAGAGAGCTCGTCTCTCCATAAACTTCTAAAAGGATGCCACTTTAACCAAAGTTTGACAGCACTAAAATCAGGCCTGTAATTAATAACGGGTTCCTGCGACTGGACTGCACAGAGGGATGCCACCGTTGTCATGTGGTGGTGTCTGTATTTTTAATCGTTTCTAATTTTTCCCTTACCCCGAATGGAGTCAATCAGCCAAGGGATGTTTGGTGCAAAAAGGTTTTGTTATTGCACTGGAGCTACAAGGTTTATGTAGCTAATAAGTAATGGAAGCTTATGACCGTGAATTAGCACCAAGAAAAGTCAAACTGCACTGACTTGTTAATGCCACATGACCAAGTGCAGCCTGGCTTTAAAGACAGCGAGCACTTGGCCCCATAGCACTGCCTGGGTCCCTTTTAATCGAATTTCCAAAAAGTCAGTGAAAATGACTTAATCTGTTTCTATCAACTACTGAGCAAATTAACTGAAGATGATGTGACACACTTGCAATGTGAGGCAAGAGTGTCGCTCACCTCGCATGGCATATACAATTCAAACCTTTATTAGCACTCAGTAAAATAGTTTTGACAGCCCTCTGTCAGCTATACATGGCCGTAGCCCTAACAGTTAAGAGATACCAGGCCAAGTAGGCGGTGGCCCATTTAATGAGGGCTGAAAGAGTTCTGAAGATACATGACTTTTGTTCCTGCTACGTCAACATATGTTTGAAAATCCACATTTGAAGTTTCCATCCCTGTTTTTTCACTTATCAATAAACAAACTTTTCTACCTCAATCAAGTGTAAAAACGTTTTTTGCATTATTTAAACATTTTTTTTCATTTCATTTCATTTTTCAAAGCACAAGTATCGACAAAAAGATTACAGAGCTGAGGGAGTGGAGCAGAAGAAGACGAAGATGACAAAGCAGCCAAAAAGCTTGGGCATTTAAGAAGTTAAAGATCGAAAAGACCTAGCTGAAAAGTCCTAGTTGATGTGTCAACTGCTAAAAAGCCATGTTTTTATTTTTGTGTTTGAAAATAAAAGTTAATTGTGTCTTCTGCTGCTCCAAACCCTGCCTCCAGTGTCCAAAAGCACATGGCATACTACAACTTGTCTATGTGGTGTCTGACACTGAATGACACACTGTTAGCTATAAAAATGGACAAAAGAAAAACAGTAGAAACAGTCAATTTGAAGCCAGAGTTTTGTCCATTTTTATCCACCATATTTTTCATGTGACCCCTTTCAAGATTATGCCAAAACAGCTGGTGGGAAAAGGAGAACCCACTGATCATGTTTTTAACAAAACCAAAAATGTTTCATGTCCCATTTAATGTCCTGAAGACATTCTGAGACAACATGGGCAGTTTGAGCCAGGTAAAGACTGGTAGAAGTATGGCAAGAACAGAAGGTTGCGAGGATAAACCACTCGAGAAAGCACAGTGCTTCAGAGGGCACATGAATGCGTTGTAATCCCTGCTCGAACAAGCCCGGTTCTTAATGTTGAAATCTGGGCCCATAAAACCCAACATGATAATGAATTACCAGTTGATCATCAGTGGTTGCTGTTAACAGACCCTTTTAGACTGATGTAAACTATATACAGTGCCGTTTAAAAAAATTGTAAACCCTTTATCATTTTATGAATTTGTACATAAATGTGACCAAAAATATGATCAGATCTTCTTTTAACTCATAACAATAGATACAGAGAACCCATTTAAACAACTAAAACAAAATGTGTAAGTAATCTAACATTAAATGTCTTTCTTAGCAAAAACATGTGAACCTCTGCTTTAGGAACTGGTGTGACCCCCTTGAGCAGCAACGACTGTGACCAAACAGTTCTGGTAACTGTTGATCAGCCCTGAACACTGACTTAAAAAATTGCCTCGATTGTTTTATGTTGGTGGGCAAATAATTTACTGAGGTCCTCATAAATCTCATTTGACTGAGACATGGGATGCACTAACAAATGTGTATGGTAAAAACTGGACTTCGATGGTGAAGACTCAGGTTGATGTTTTTTTTTAAATAGGGTAAGGTCAGCCATACTCACACTTGATTGTCAACTGATTAATTGAACCTCCTGACCCCAATTATCTCATTTACCAAACAGAGAATTCTAGAGGTTCATTTACTTTTGCCAACATTTATTGATGGATCACTTTGTTCAATAAATGGATGAAAAACTATATAATTGTTTGTGTTATTTGTTTTATGGGGTTTTGGGGGTTTCTGTATCTAGTATTATGGCATTAATGAAGTGATATTAACCTGTTCTTATTCAAGTCACATTTATGTACAACTTCACAAAATGATAAAGGGTTTACAAACTTTCAAGCAGCACTGCATGTTCAGATTGAACAAACAATCCTCTGACCAGATCCTAACATCAACACACATGCATTTAAACAGTCCAACAATAAATATTGAATATTTGGCATGTTTTCTGTTTATGCTACGGCAGAAGTTCTCTCCATATTTCATGAAAAGCATCATAGGACATAGGAAAAAGGTGGGTGGATCTCAAAATGTCATACAGTGTCAGAAACCACATAAGTAAATCTATTTAAGATTACTTAACAATTTGACATGGTTTGAGGTAAGAATATGATGATTCAGGCATGCAGTTTGCATGATGCTGTCACAGCGGGCAGACAGCACAAGGACTCTCCCATTTTGCATTGGCTGTGTTTGAAAAAGCATGACGGGGCATGTTAGACTAGCATTAGCATAGTGCAGCAGCATTTAGTAGCATTTTTCCACCAATTTTGTATCCATATAAGCATGAATCTCAGACCATTAAAAATGTTTGGGGCTAACCAGGCAGTTACGTTAGTGGTTACGTCCTCCTGCACTTTGGGATGCAGTATATTATGAAGGTAGCTCTGGCTGCATACTGGAATATTTGACCAGAGAAGGACACCATCCAGGTATTTTGAACACAACCAATGGCTCTTATCAGCTCCACCCACAAATGATCTTGCATGCCTGTAGCATGTTCTGGACTTATTAACTCTGTTGTGCATGTATGTTGCTGAATTTAGCTTCACTCCTTGCAAAGTCTTCTCACTTTTTAGAGCAGTTCTGAGCACTAAAAAGTTGTTTTTTGTCATTTTTTTACTCTTTTGTGGTGTTTCTGATAGCTGGTTATGGATTATTCCTGTGTGTACAGGCCTGCCTGTGTTATGACCCCTGCTTTGGACTTTCTTTGGTTCGTTTTCGCACATGGATCTTGTCTACTCTTGGCACTGCAGATGCTAATTAGTAGGTTTAACAAGCTTCCATTACTTGTTACCAACATTAGTCTTACAGCTCTCCACAACGAAAGAAGCAAACTTCAGATATCAAAAATGCCTTGGATAATTAAATATATAGTGCAACACTATATCACTAACACATACAAAAAGGGGGCGTTAGATCTCTGTTTTTCATTTGATCTTTCCCAGGACATGCCTCCTTGCAGTCCTCCAGTAGATGAAATCTGCTCTGAATAGCCAGAGAGAGATTCCTTCTACACAGAGGCAGATGGTCTCTCCACTGGTTGTTTAATTCACAATAAACGGACAGATTGAGACTGGGACGAGTGGCAGGACAAACAGAGGCTCTAAGCACCAGTTTAGCATCTCCTCCCCTCCCTCTTCTTTTCACTCCCTGTGGCCTTACCAGTCCTGTGAGTGGCGACGGGTGAGGTGTCCACGCTGGTGACCACAGCTTTCTCTTTCTGCTTGAAGAACTCCCGCGGGTTGCTTGTCCGTTGGGCAATAATGGCGGCCGCCTCCTATCAACACATTAACAGCATGACAAAGAATGCCACATATACTATATATTCAATAGTATCCAGACACCACCTTAGAAGATGTCAAGCATTAGCAAGAGGGGTATAAAATCCCCAAGCACTGGGCTGTGGAGCAGTGAAACTGCGTTCCAATACCTCTGGGATGAGTTGTAGTGGTGTCTGAGATTTAGAACTAATCATCCAACATCAGTATCTGACCTCACTAACATTCTCTGGCAAAATGCAATCAAGTTCTCACAGCAATGTTCCAACATCTAGTTCAAAGCCTTCCCAGAAGAGTAGATGCTGTTACCCCAGCAAAGAGAGGACAAACTCCCTAATAATACCCTTGATTCAGAACAAATGATGGATGACCATTTAACCTACCAATTATTATAGTGATTAATTATCTCAGTTATCAGAGTTTTTAAATAATAAAAATGGACATAACTGAACAATAACAAACTATGCATAACTCTAGTTTATGTATATAATTGCCATGATGATAATTTGACCAATATAATATAATATAACATTTTGTTTCATACATACATATACATATATATATAAAATATATGTATACATATATAATATAAATATATATGTATACATATATATATATATATATATATATATATATGTAATTTTGTTTTTTCTCACATCCTGTACGGCACTTATCCCTAATCTTATTAAACAAACTCATAATAACACATACAGCTGTTCAGTGTTCTGTAGATATGGATGTTATCCTAGACACGGTCAGAAAAGCAAACTGTTTATGACAAATGTATTATTATAAAGATAATAATCAATGTATTATGATAAAGCAACTCCGAGTTAGTTATGTCTATAATCTGTGCTTTTAATTTACCTCGTACCACTCATTGCCTGCTGTCATGTAAATACAACAAATCTGTCTCATATGCCATGTAAATATGCAAATAGATATACTTTTATTTTATTTCTCTTGTACTCTAACTTATGTCTAGATTTATTTCTATTTTTTGCATAGTATATGTAAGTTTATGTGCAATTATATGTCTTGGTACTGAAACACTGCAATTTCCCTTCGGGATCAATAAAGTTCTATCTATCTATCTCTCTATCTATCTCTCTATCTATCTATCTATCTATCTATCTATCTATCTATCTATCCATCTATCCATCCATCCATCCATCCATCCATCCATCTATCTATAAAATACGGTCATATTCCCCACCTCTAACGACAGCCCTAGTATTTCTATTGTGCTTTTATACATACTGTAACCTAAAACCATGCTGCAGCTGCTTATGATAAACGGTATGTCAGCTGGGTGGCAGCTTTGTTTTTGTCTGGATAATCTAGAGCAAGAACACCCTTTGTATCGTAAAGGCAAACCTACTACCGTCACAGAGTGCCACTTTCTTACAGGGCCATACTCCAGAAACAGCAAGAGGAATCCCACTGACCCACATGCAAAGCCCAGAAGAATTTCTGCCACCACAATACAACCAATTTGACCTACATCTATGCTGGATTCTATGCTCGCATTCAGCAGGGGCTTGCCTAGAACTTAGTAGTAAAGGTATCATTTTCAAGGTTTGGACAGTTCTAGTGGATGTGAAAGTCACGAATCAACCCACCTCAACCTCTGTCTCCTTTTTCTCTTGAGAGGGGTCATCATTGCTGGGCTCTGTCTAAAGAGGAGAGAAAAAACTACCATCAGTTTCCAGCAGGGGGCAGCAAAAAGCAGATTTTCCTCAACTAGCGGTTTTGTGAGTTGTTCATCCGCCATAGTTAACATGCTGTGGCACAAATTCACCAGACTCTGATTTTAATCGCTGCTACATATATCTGAACACACGTGGAGAGCCTTCATGTTAAGAAATATTTACAAGCAGAATATCCTCTAAAAATCATATTTCTCTGCAAAATGGTACAATGAAGGAGTCAAACCTAGTATGCAAAGCATACACACTCTTACAATCAAGGGCTGAGTCCTTGACCTCTCTTTGGCCTCCTCTTCCTCTTGCATTTTCTTCCTGTAAGGTACAAAAACACACACCCAAAGAAGGTTAGAGTGAAAGTCAACCTATCTAAAGACGGACCATCGCGCCTGGAGTGGTGGTGTTCTTACCTGTGTTCCTCAATCTGCCTCTCCCTCTCGCGATATCTCTTCTCTCTCTCCTCTTGCTCCTTTCTCTCCAGCTCCATACGCTCCTCTTCAAAACGCTGCCGCTCCTCTGCCGCCTTCTTTCTCTCCTCCTCTTTCCTCATCTCTTCTTCCCGCTGTTAAGAAGGAAGCAAATATGGTGCTGTAGGCCTACGCATGATGTAGTTAACATGTAGCCATAATGCTACAATACAATCTATACTATTCTAGTCACAAACTTATGATATCTACACAATTTAGCTAGCATGTGGCTACAACAAAATGATAATATCTAGAGTATTTGCTATAATATAAAGGCCATAAAGCCTTACCTGAATCTGTGCTGTTGAGCTACAATTTAGCCTCAATGTTACGATAATATCTACACCATTCTGCTACCACATAGCCACAATCCAACCATAATGTCTATACTATTTTGTTACCATGTAGCCATAATCCTATGATAATATTAAAACTATATAGCCACCAAGCTATGATATGATGTAGACTGTTTGCTATCATGCAGCCACAAAGCTTTGACTGTAGTCCCAGTGCTATGACATATTTTCATACCATGTAGCCACAATGCTATGATTACATTGTAGCCTCCCGCTACTGGCTCGCATTGCCGTGACCTGCCTTCTATTTCAGTTGCTTTTAAAGTGGCTTGTCTGCTTGTTCAAAATAAAAGGGCAGAAATTATGGGCTCTCCCTACTCTTCTTTTACAAAAAGCTACAATATTGATACTACTTTGATACCCTGTCACCACAATGCTATTATAAAACATCTACACTATTTTCATATCATGTAGCTACCATGCTATGATAATATCTATACAATGTTACAGTGTAATCATAATGCTAATATATATTTATTTGTAGCCACAATACTATGATAATATATATACTATTTTGCTGCCCTGCTAGAAGAACCTGCATAGACCAGCATGGCTGGTCACCAGCAAAACCTGCGTATGTTGTGTTTCAGATGCTTGTCAAACAGCATGGCCATGGTGGGTGAACAGCTAAGCCAGCACTAGACCAGCATAAACTAGAATAGACCAAAATGCTACCATGTAGCCATAATGCTATGATAATATTTATACTATTTTTTGCTATGTAGCCACAAGGCTGTGATAATTTCTATACTATTTCGATATAATGTAGCCACAATGCAGTGATAATATCTATACTATCTTGATATGATGTCGCCACAATGCAGTGATAATTTCTATACTATTTCGATATAATGTAGCCACAATGCAGTGATAATATCTATACTATCTTGATATGATGTAGCCACAATGCAGTGATAATTTCTATACTATTTCGATATAATGTAGCCACAATGCAGTGATAATCAAAGCAAGTATCTTGTAATTCAGAACTAGCCAAGAATCAGATTTATCATTGACCTCAGGGGAAAAACTGCACTCTCTTCCTTAAATATCTTATAATCAGTGCCTATCACAAATATAGGCCACCAGCATGGGAGTCTTTTCCTAGTTGCAACTGAAGGCAAAGTCACATCTCCTGATACTATTATTGGTAATTGTCTTATGAGGCCGAAACGGGGCTCTTAACCCCTTAAAATCTCAGGCTTATTAAATACTAAGGCTTATTTTTCAGTAACGATAGGGACTTTAATGCAAACTGGCTGAGATATGCTTAGGTTATAGAAGTGCGTAATAAAACTTTGGGTCCGCTGGTGGTCCCTGACCATTTAAGGGGTTAAATATGTTCTGAAAATCTACAGCAGAAATACTTTTAAACATAATAAACGGCTCCTCTCTGAAATAAGCACTTCCTCATTAGCGCTAAAGCCAGAACAAAAATATCAATAAGCAGGTAGGGCGCAGTGCGCTAATGCTGGCTGGGGTGTGATTCACATCTCCGGTTTAAAAGAGTCCCTCCTCAAGCAGAATCACATCTCTACCTTGGCTTGTTCCCAGAACTCCTCACGATTGATCTTCTTCATCTCGATCTCTGCGTTCGTCTTCTGGTAGGTGGTGCCCTGTGGGGAGGGGTGGAGGGGAAGAAGTGTGAGCAACAACTAATTGGAATTGCAGCTCTGACGAACGGCCATGTTGTTCCGAGTGAGGCACTGCGGGGACAGTTTGTCTATTCTGTCTCATGTGAAAACAGCCAGAGAACATCAGTGAAGTAAACAGCTGTCTGGTAATTACATGATACACTTACACCAGAATACACTCTTGAGTTCCATACTACTGAGTCAATGCTAGGTTACGCCATGCTATTGAATGAGCTAAAGAGCAAGCTGAATGAATCGGACGTTCTCTGGACTGCCAACATTGGGCACTGAAAAAAGTGGTGTGTTGAATTACTTGATGCAAATGTGTACATCATTTCCACATGAATAAAAATGTGGAATTTCGTTTTTCAATTCACTTCCATTTGCCAATAATTGTGTTGATGTTACAGTACATTAAATGCACCACTGCTTTCACTGTGCTATATCTCAAGTGATTGTGTATTGAGATCTACACTGTCTGTTTATTCAGTAACTGAAGGACAGGGCTGTCACATGGATGGAGGTCACAATGATATGTTGGACAAACAGGCGGAAGAAGCTGGATTGCTTTAGAAGTGAATGAGTCACCCCTGTTTGGCCGACCACAGAAAGGAGCATTGTTTCAGTTCCTCCTGCACTAACAATACAGCTCGGAGTGGGGGGCCAGCTTGAGCGCTTCCCTTTTAAAGCAGCAACAAGCCTGAGCCCTTGTGTCACACTTCACACTCATAGAGATCCTTTTACAGACTACTTGGTTTGACCTCTGTCCAGCAGAGGCTGCAAGCATTTACACACATTCAGACACAAACACACAGACACAGTTAGTTTTTCTACAATGTCAGGACATTAAGTCATACATATGTCCCATATGTATAAATGTAACTACTATATCCCATAATTTGTAGTCAAAACTGGCATTGAGTACAAGTTACTTGTTACTGAGAAAAGGAAATAGCCAAAAAGAAGCTGGTGTTCTCAAAACAATGGACTGACGACAGAAGAGTGTAGACCTCACTGAATGTGTTTGGGATTACTTGGACTGTGAGAAGTAGACAATATTTTTTCTATGACTGAACTTTGGAGGTGTGGAAAAATATCCCTGTAGATTTCTGTGAAAAATTTAATGTAAGTCTCCTGAACAGAAAGAAAGCTGTAATAAAAGCAAAGAGTGGACTTAATAAATACTGAAATTTCTGATATTATGTTTAGTTGTTGAGCTTCTGTGTAATTTTCTGTCAGATATGTTTTCTGCTTTTTATCCTGAAGCTGAAAAATGAATAACTTGTACTTAATGACTGGGTGTCATATAAAAGATGTCCCTGAGTTTGCACATTATTGTATATGTAGTAATAAGATGGTCCATATATGTGTAAAATATCTACATTGTATACATTTTATATATATCTGTATGTGTAATAAGAATTTTCAAAGCCTAAACCTAAACCTAACCCAGGTCCAAACATTGTAGATTGTTTCGGTTTTTCTCTGGTTTTCTAACAAACCCAGGGAAATTTGTCCTAAAAACGTACAAAAACATGCACACGTACATGCACACACACACACACACACACACTAATTCCCTCTCCAGTCACGCACAACGTGCTCTGTGTTCTCCTCGTCCCTCGTTCGCAGGCGGCTAAGGACAGGGCTGGCCACCGGGCCTGTCCCATTGGTCAGTCTCTGTCCGATGGCTGAGGGCTCTATGTCGTCCATGCTGCTGGCGTTGATGATGACGTCAACCCCCTGGAGGGAAAGACAAAGTAAGAGAGAAAGAGAAAAAAGCATCACTGCCAGTGCTGCCAAAGCACGTAACCCCAGGCAACCCTCCAATGAATAGGGAGGACTCAGTAAGTGTGTGTATGGCACCGTGGGACTGTGGGAGAGCATGTTAATGCTAAAGCAACAGGCTACGGAAAGGACTTCAAAGTATCAGGCGGAGGATAAAAGGAGAAGGAGGTGAATTCGGGGGACTCTCCGGCACACATGAATAAAAATGAATATGGATGTCCAGTCGGTTGGAAAAAGGAGCAATCAACACATTTGCACAGCAAAGCTGCAGGCCAGATTAAGCTACATCATGGATGCTTTTACAGACGTTTACAGACTATTAATGCATGAGCTTCTATACCTTCACAGGCCAGTTAAAGGAAAAGGATTTATATTTAAAATTTTTATATTTTTAATTTTTTCTCATTTATTTGTGTGCAGCCATGAACATTGTTTAAAACTATTTTAAACCTTTATTAATAAGTTAGTTAAAAAAATACACTTAGAGGAACACAAGTTTGGGTCCCTGACGTTTTGCTGCGCTCCAGTCATTGCATGGATTTGTAAAATTTAGCAGCATCTTATTTCATTTATTGAAGGATTGATTAGCTTAATTGATTAGCGTATCGGATGGTAACTACAAATACTGGACTTCATCAAGGAGAGCTAAACAATGTATTGTTTACATGTTTATTTGTATTTATTCTAATGTTAGTTTCTTTTTGAACAAAGAAATGCTTACTGTCCAGATATATAGCGTTACATATAATTTTCTTTCTTTCTTTCTACCATGAAATACTTTTGCAGAGTATTGTATGTACCAAAAACACATTATAATGAATTTTTTTTGTAACTTTTTCATATCAGGGGAGTGAACTATATGGTCTGAAACTGTAAAAGTGTTTACATGGTACATCAAACTTTTTTCTTTTAAAAAATAAAATGTTGGGTTTCCATGATATGAGTCCTTTAAAACAAATCTGCTGCTGTGAATTCTCCCATTTCTACTACTCGGTGCCCATCATGTAAACTCAGACAGCAGCCTCTGCAGCCTCTCCAATTCCTTAGTCCATTCTTCTTTTCCCACAATCTCTCCATTTCTCTACCTCTGCTCATCCGTGCTCTCTCCTTTTCTCCCACCCACGCGTCCCCTGGCTGAAGAGACGGAGCACATAAAAGGCAGCACAGGCCGGCGTTCAGCTTTGCTGCGACCGCCAGACACCTCCGCCTCAATCACCCTGATGAGAGGCGCGTTAGTCATCCACAAGCGCTCTCTGCCACGTACTACAGCTGTTAGGTACCGTGGCCCCCCCCTCCATACATACACGCTTTGAGGTCCACCCACAGATTGTAGGAATTTACTCAGCTGCAAAAGCACAACTTGGAGATTCAAAAGACGGCTGAGTAATAATGGAATCATGCTGGCAAACAGTGCTGAGTGGAAAGTGCTACATTTAAAAGCGATACCTGGTCATGTCAATTTTGGGACATGTTCATAAAAAACATGACGAGACATTGGCGATATTAATAGATTCCATAAGAGAACATGACAAACTACTATAAATGACTGAGCGCAGTCTAAAGCTACGTCTATTGGAGAAGCATCAAAGGCTTTGGAAGTGGGCTGGAATATAGCCAATATAATGTTGAAGCAAAACTTTATGACACATGCTAATAACTTTTGCAATACTTCAGTGAAAAGCTATGGTATAAATGGTCAAAAGCACATATTATAGCTAAAACCATAAATCATAGTAGCAGCCATCTTAAAGCATGAACTTTATCTGTACTTTTGTCCATGTTAATAGATACCGGTATGTCATACAGTGTCAGAAACCACATAAGCAAAGAGATGCATTGCGATCCAATCACTCAAACCACTTTCTGAAATGATCATATGACCATATAACATTTGTAACATGAACATTAAAGCATCCTGCATTTCTGACAACATTAACAACTTTCCTAATCAACTGCATCATCACAGCAGTGATGAAAGAAGCTGCGTAGCTTCTTTCTTTGTCTTCTCTCATGTTTGATTACGAGCTGCATTAGTAATCCATGCAGTCTAAATATTTCTAACAGCCTTTAAGGCAGTAAAGTTCCAGGGTGGCCGCTAGAACTATATAAGGCTATACGCCTTGCAGTCCACTTATGATTGGATCATTTGAGATGAAATGTGAACAGGAACTGACTGAGGCTCACCTGGAAAAACTCGGCGATGGTGGCTACATGGCTGGCACAGGCACACTTCCTTGCATCAGGCACATCCTCCCCGACCTAACCACACATCATCACAGGAACAACACAGGAACGTTTTCATCAGCAAATTCCACATCCAAAAGAACAAGATGAACTAAAGGCCACCATAGCATCATAAGCAGCACAACTGTGGCTCCTTTTTTTATTAAACCACCCACGCCATTCATATAAACCCCAGATGATGAACCGGTTCTCAGTTCGCTTGGTTGGAAAATGTTGTAGTGATCCTTTATGGGCAGACAAAGTTAGGGTTTGGTTAAGATAGTTCGTGCCCTGGAATGTCTTGTTCTCATAGCTACTGTGTGGATGAACTTAAATGGGGAAAACTGCTTTCAAGTTATACTTTGTTGATCCATATTTAAGGAAATAAAGATCCATCTGGAAGCAGCACAGCATTACCAGCAGAGCAATGCTGCCTGGGGCAGTGGGTAGATAAGTGTCTTGTCCAATGGCACAACCAGGTGTACCCAGTCAGTCCTGGGATTTGAACCCACAACCTTCTGGTCCCTGGTTCATCTAGGCTAACGCCAAGATACCAGTTTCCCTGAAGAGGAATACTACAGCCTTCTTCATCCTAATCTTTACCTGCAGCAGCTGTGACATATTGTTGTTTATTTGAATAATTTTTATGTATTTCTCTGCATAAATAACAGAAAACTCAAACTCAGAACAAGTCAGTGGGCAGGTATGAATCCACTGGCTTCATGTATAAGTGTTTTCAGGAAAACAGAATATTACTGTCTGTGGTAAGCAACTGCATGCTACAGGATTGGAAAATAAAGTTACTCAAACCCCACCCCTCACCAGATTAAAGGACAAATGTATTTTTGTCCTATATAAATGCTTTTCATACTACTTAAATGTATTAAATTTAACTTTTTATTTTAATAACAAATATATTATAAAATGCGTTTTTAAAGACTATTTGAAACCTACCTGCTTTCTTTATTTGTGTATTGTTTTGCCTTTTTTGGCCTTCAGCCCATCACACACATTGCACTTTGGCCCCCCAAGACATAAACTACAAAGTCTCGTTCTTATAGCTGTGTGCGGGAGATCTAGTTAGAGGACAGAGCAGTTTGCAGGTGTAGACATGCAAATTTTTTATTCAGAGAGTTCGAGAGTAGATGTGAGAAATGTGTTTTTGTTTCTGTTGTTGTGGGTTATATCCTTACAATAGCTCATTAAACTGTGAATTTCAGATGGTTTGTGGTCTACCCTGAGCCTTTGTTTAACGAGGTCGAAACCATTTGTTATACTTTGAGCAAAAGGTAATCACCTTTCATTTTAAAAGAGAAAGAGAAAAATTAATATTTTTCATACAAGCAACCTGCACTAACAATTGAAATACATCAAGATCTTTTTGTCTTTAACAATACAGACAAAAGCAGTGCAGATTGTTATGATCAGCACCCATTCAAAACAGCATTGCTGACACAATGCAATCTGATTGCAGTGCCATACCCTCACAATGGCTACAATAGTAGTGGAAAAATACAGTAAATAATTTGGAACTGACAAAAAAATGTTTTGTTAACATATGCTCAGGTTCTGAATAGAACTTATTGTGTACTATATCATAATCTGCTGTACAAAGTGCAATAAACACTTATGATCTCTCTAAGGCTTTTATTAATCTTAAGACTTATTATTCAGTAACTACAAGCCTCAATTCCAAAATAGTTTCGACAGTACGTGAAATGCTAATAAAAACAGAAGGCAGTACATTTTTGACCTGTATTAAATCGAAAACAACAACATGATATGTCATGGTGTACTTTGTTTTTTCCAAAATTGATGGATAGAACATGTTTCAAAAATCAACACCTTTCATTTTAACGAGACTCAGTAATCGCTTTGGCGCTGAAAACACCAATTATTCAAGTTTTGAAAACAGATTTTTTTGCCAATCATCAGTTTTACAAGTCTTCAGCTATGCAAATGACCCACACTATGGACGCTAATACACCTCTATACCATGACAGACACTGGTGTATGAACTTTACACTGGTAACAATCTGGATAGTGCTTTACTTCTTTGACCTGGAGAAGCGCCCATTATTTCCACAAACAATTTGAAAGCTTGACTAGTAAGACCACAATACAAGTTTCCACTATGCATCCATTTCAAGTGAGCTTGAGCCCAGAGAAGTCAGCAGCGTTTCTGGATGTTGTTGACATTTGGTCCACTTACCATAGCGCAGTCTTAACTTGCATTTGTGGATGCAGTGACAAACCTTGTTTATTGACGAGTTCCTGATCCCACAGATTATTTCACCGACCACTCCAAAAATAGACCCTTGATTTCTCTGTAAGGTTTAAAGTCTGTGTCTGTACCCTCTGTCTGATTTAAGAACATCTGGGCTGAAACCGAGCGTACGCTTGTTAGTCTCTTCTGCCACTTTAGTTCTTCTCTTCTGTCTTTGCTGCTCTACGCAGCTGCACAGTGAGCTCTTGCTAACGGCTTGCAAAATGCTCCATCACTTAAAACAGGCCCTCAGCCTAAGGCAACAGAACACAGACACACATTCATAGCACACACAGACACTGGTGGAGCAGCAAAAGGGCAGTCGCTAGTAGCCCCACTCACCCAGTTGATGAGGATGTAGCGAGGCAGGCTGGCAGTGGGCTCCTTCAGGCTGCAGAAGCCATACATGATGCGGCTGCTGTCAAAGGTGACCGTGATTTCCTCCAGGCCTCCACCTGTCAATCAAGGGCAGAGATAGAGAAAGGCTCAGTCATGAAAAGGCAACTCTATTTGTTTTAAGCATCAGTGCGTTTATTGTGTTTGAAAACTGCATGTATTTTGATACAGTATTTTGACACACACTTCCAGTCTGAGCTCTACCTACAGTCAGGTGCTGAATTTCCCAGAGGTAACAGGAATTAGGTTACTTAATGAGGAATGAGTATCTGTTTCATTGAAAACCTGCAGGCACACTCTTTTGTATTACCTGGTTTCTGGAAATAGATGAAGTGTAGTCCTAGAATAAAATGAAATTTCATGGAGCATCCCCACTGACCGTGCATTATAGTTAGACATGCACAGATATGGAATTTCAGGGTTGATAATGAGAACTGAAAGTTAAGTCTTCATTACGAATGATAACAATAACCAATAATTTAGCTTTTTTGCATTTTAAAGGAGACATATTTTGCTCTTTTTTCAATTATATTATATATACACTAATAATTATTAAGTTCAGGTGTGTCAGCCACACCCATTGCTAACAGATGTATAAAATCAAGCACATAGTCATGTAATCTCCACAGACAAACACTGGCTGTAGAATGGATCATACTGAAGAGATGACTTTAAATGGTCATAGGATGCCACCTTTGCCACAAGATTGTTCTACCCTGCTAGATCTGCCCTGGTCAACTGTAAGTGCCATTATTGTGAAATGGAAGCTGGTGGTAGCAACAACAGCTCAGCCACGTAATGGTGGACTATGCAAACCCAAGGAGTGGGGCTGCCGAGTGCTGAAGCGTGTTTCCTCAGTCACTGCAGAATACCAAACTGCCTCTGGAAACAACATTAGCACAAGAACTGTGCATCAGGAGTTTCATGAAATGGGTTTCCAAGGCTAAGCAGCTGCACACAAGCCTAAGATCACTATGCACAATGCCAAGTGTCGGCCGGAGGGGTGTAAAGGGATGTGGACTTACTGGCACAGGGGAAATGTGTTCTCTAGAGGGATGAATTCACTATCTGACTGTTGGATGAATCTGGGTCTGGCGACTGCCAGTTCAACGCTACCTACTGGAATGCATAGTGTCAACAGTAAAAGATGAAGGTCTGGGGCTGTTTTTCTTTCTAGGCCCCTTAGTTCTAGTGAAAGGGTAAAGCCATTGTAGACAATTAAATGTTTCCAACTTTGCGGCAACAGTTTAGGGAAGGTCCTTTCCTGTTCCAGCATGATGGTGCCCCAGTGCACAAGGCAAAATCCATAAAGACATAGTTTGATGAGTTGTGGAGGTGTGGAGGAACTTCAGTGGCCTGCACAGAGCCCTGACCTCAACCCCACTGAACACCCACTGGGATGAAGTGGAATGTTGATTGTGAGCCAGGCCCTCTCGTCCAACATCAGTGTCTGATATCGCAAATGCTCTTTTGGTCACAAAATTCCCACAGACACACTACAAAATCTTATAGAAAGCACTCCTAGAAGAGTGGCTGCTGTCATAGCCGCAAAGGTGGAGCAACTCCATGTTAATGTCCATGGTTTTGAAACGGGATGTCCAACAAGCTCATGTGGGTGTGATGGTCAGGTATCCGCATATCATACAGTGTAGTTCGTTATGTGTGTTGAAAAACAACTGTGAAGTGTACCGAACAAATAAAACCTTTACGTATTCTTCATGGTAAGATGAAAAAAGGTCATTTTCTTATTGTATGCTAATCACCTTTGCTCTCATTGGCTGTGACAGTATGATTGGGTAAGGGGTGTCAACAATGGTTACAGCAGAGCACAGTATAGCGAAACCATACATGTTGGACTTTTTAAGCTTGTTGACGCTGACAGATACGGTCACTAACTCATGAGCATGCCAGCCAAGCATGTCGTTTACAAAGCAACGCGTAATGCAGAAACATTGTAATTCGTATTGTAAATATTTTTTCTAGTTAACATATTTGGCCACTGCTAAGATAATGCTATTTTCTGCTAGCATGGTAATGGTGATTTCAATGTTAATTAAATATCAGGTTAATGGTGGTTAATATTTGCATTTCATAGTGACTGCAGATAAAACACAGCCATTTGAAGCAACACTGTCTTTGCTTTGGATGTTGCAATGTGGATGCTGACTCTCCCGTTAAAATTTAAACTGAAATTCTTTCTCTCAATATTACTAGAGCCTGTTACCTATATGTTAAACTTACTTTAGTGAGGGCAGAATATTGTCCAATTAGGCCACAGAGAGTCTGATGACAGACAAAAGAGTGCTGAATCCAACATCAGTCACTAACACAGAAATGTAATGTTTGTGATCTGTGACATTACATCACTGTTTCACACTCCCTGCTAATCAGAGACATCTGTATGTGAAACGATGCGATGCTTCGATGGTGAAAGTATGAAGGCTGGGTGAGGGGCAGTGGTTATTGGAGTGTGACAGGTGTGACTGAGCAGTGAGCAGCCATTCTTAACAGCCTGTAGAATCATATGCTTATGTAAATGGAAAATACAGCAAAACAGCTTCACATTTCACAATTTCTTGGATGCGAGATACAGTGGTAGGTAATGTATTTGTGAAATGTCTATGAAAATGCAGTTTTGTTTATTATTTCTCCTTTAAAACAGTTTACACTATAATCTACATGCAGTGAAATGCAGTGACCGTAAGACCAAAGTGACTGTAACAGCTCTGAACGGATCACTGGTTACTTTTCCATAGATAAATCAGGCGTGATAATTATTGTAAACATTTACATATTTAGCAGATGCTCTCATGCAGAGCGTATTATAAAGGTGTCACAGTGTCAGCCTCTCTGTGGAGACTACATTAGGACTGTCCTTTTTGTGATTGGCTTACACTAGTTCCAGCTCCACTCTGGCTCCTTCCACTCTTAAACACACTCATCTGCAGTTAGTTAAAGGATTGACTAACTCAATATATACTCCATTGTTTGGATTTTCTCCTTGCCAGTTTCTGTTTTATCTGGCATCTTGACTCTTGCTTTTGTGTATTTCTGTTTTTCTCTTTACCTGCCTGCCTGTGTACCAACCCCTGCCTGCTATGATGACTATGAGTACTGGAAGCCCTCCCAAAATAAAGCTTCTGAGCACAAATATCCTGCCACCTCCCACTCATTAGAGTAAGCAAATGTAGTGTTAGGAGTTCTGCCCAAGCAAAAGGTATTATTGGTGTAGCAGCGACGTTCTGCTTGGAACTGAAGACCATAGTGAGGGCTATGGGGTTATCCACTACTCTATCCATTTCATTGAGGCTGGAAAAAAAAATCAGATATGTCCACCAAGAGTGATATATATCTGCAACAGTGCATGCGCAAACACGAACAGGGTGCCAGCTATCAGGTTTAATTATCATTTAATTATCAGCTGTAACTTCAATACTGGACTGATAATAATAATTACATTTTCCCATTTATTGACGAACACTATACCATGTATCCCTATTTATAATCACAGGCTAGGCATAGACTATATCAGGAAAACTGGCCAAGTAAGCTGGCCTCTTAAATAGCAGGCAACATCTGAAGCGGAAGGATCCACTGAGCTAATTATTAGAGCATAGATCTGGGTTAGTGATTTCCATTCAATTGCATTGGATACTTAAAAGCTCAATCAGAGCCAGACAGTCAGCACCAGACACAGGCCTCTGGCGGAAGATGGGGAGACAAGCACACTCCTCTGCTTGAACTAGTCTAGCGCACAGCCCATCCTCCAGCCTCAGACAAAAGAAGATTTTACAGAGGAAGCAGCTTCATTCCCTCAGCTCTCACTAATAATTAAATCTGATTTAAATATGAAGCAGGTAGATATAATTACGCTCCACTGAAACAAATAAGCATCTGTTATCGGCTCACTTGAAATAATGAATGGATCTCAACTGTGGTGCAATCTCACTCGAACCGTCTTCCCTGCTGACAACAATATGCCTTATTCGGAACGGTGGCCTTGGATCTCACCGGCTTTGCCCTGTTCAACTCCAGGCACTGAGCCATTAAAGTCATTATTGCTAAATTACAGGTTTGCTCTTCATGTACTGAAAGGAAAAGATGAGGCTCCACACAGTTTGATCTGATAGACCACAACACAGATAATGAGGTGGCATTTGCAGGGAAAATGGCAGCATGATCGAATATGGTTCGAAGGGTAAACTCTAATTCCTTCGGCTATTGACAACAGACAGTGGCCACTGAGTGCAATCATTTCAGGTTTATGTAGGCTATCCTCTATCACTATGCAGAATGGATTCCTAATGGCAGCCACAATTATGATAATTATGATGTGGCAAATTAGTGTTATCAATCACCACGACAGAGTTATGGATCACTGGAACATCTACATTAAGGTAAATTACTGTTGGAAACCACTTACCTCCTGATGACGCCAGTATCAGATCATTGCTGTTGTCTTCATATGTGTACAGGGCCCTGAAGAGCACAGAGAGAAGGCAAAACTTTTAGTTATGACTAATTATTTAATTTTTTACAGTTTCTTACACAATTGGCCCCTAAGCGCAAATGTAGTCGACTGACCAAGTTTAGTGTCTGCTGTTTGCTTCTGAAGTTTGTGGATATACACTTTCTTTGTAGCTCCACTAAAACTAAAGAAGCAAACCTCAGACATCAAACGTGTTGGCTGAATGACTATAGTTGGGCTAAGGGGAAAATTCTGGAAATTAGATTTTTTCCATATTTAACTGACCAGCTGGAAGCCACTGAGTAAAAGAAAATAACGCAGCCAAATTGCTAAAAACACAACCCTGCTTAAAAAAAAAAAAAACAGCATAGACCGGCATGAATTGCATGGTCTAAGCTGGTTTATGCTGGTCTAGTGCTGTTTTGGTGCTGGCTTAGCTGGTCACCCACCACAGTCATGCTGACTGACCAGTATACCTGCATCCCAAACACAACATATTCCAGACCACCACGTCAACTTCCATTGCTGCATCCAAAACACAGCATGTGCTGTTTTTACTGGTCACTAGCATATGAACTTTAATTGCTGCTGACCAGCACACCAGCTTCCAAAACACAATATATGCTGGTGACCAACCATGCTGGTCTATGCTGGTTTTTCTAGCAGGGAATACAACACAACTGCTCACAGAACACTGACTCTCCAGGCAGTGGCTCATCTAAACTTTTTCCAGAACATTTCCAAGCACAAAGTGACCCAGCATTGTGGCATTCTCTGCTTGGCTAAAAGGCTCAGAGATTTGTAGCTGCAGAGAAGAGCAGACTGGAATGCACTCTCCACCGAGGGCAAAAGCAGTACACTTTAGGTCAAGGGTGCTGTTGGCTCAGAGGAGAAAATGGCATTATCGTCTGTCATTGGAGAGCGTTGCGTGGGAGGGCGTGATACAGCACGGTGGCACTTGTTAGCGTTCTACCATTGCTGTTTTTAGGACCACATGGACACTCAGCTAAAGAGTCACTCCAATCACAATCCCATACAGCCACACAAATTTACAGAGATATTAACAAAGCATGACTGTTCTGATGAGATGCAGCCTAGCACAGCTTTGACGTTTCTGATGTCTTTCACGGAGGTAAATACGAGCATATTCTGGCGTCAGCTAATCTTGTTCTCCCATCACGGTGATAAAACGAGTGGGAGTGTGGTGCTACGCTACTGAGAACAACAAATGCAAGAACAGAAGGTCTAATGCCATAAGCAACAGTATGAAGCGGTGCGGAATGCAAATGGCTCCCTCCACCTCCCTGGTTCTACTGATAAGCAGGGTTTTTGCATACATCTACACGATGCAGACTGCATAGCAGAACTGGGTTAGCCCTGCTTGTATGTTTTTTGATGCATCATTGCAGCATAAATATACATAGATATGCATTTGTACTGATGTATGATACATAATGTATAAGTAAAACAGTTTCTCAAGCTCCCAGAAATCTAGCATGCTGTGATACAATCTACAGTGTTCATAAGAATTCAGGGGCATAATGCATTGGTCTGAACTGCGTTGATTTTGCCACGTTAAAATATGTTATAATTTATTATAATTTTAATGAATATATGGAGCTTCCAAGTAGCACAACTGTCCAATTGTTGGTCCTATTGTCAGGATTTCAAGCTCTGCAGTCGGAAGTCCAATAGAAAATATTTGGCCTCGCCGTCTCATTGGGTGGGTAGGGACGGCCCTCCTTCACCTCCTATCACTCAGTGTAATGCTAGACAATGTGGGCATCTGTTAACTGATGTAACAGATTTGGCAGTTAGTGTTCTCCTCCAAGCGCGTTGAGCTGTCCATTGATGTTAATGTTACCGTTTGAAAAGACCTGCCTTCACATATCTAGGATATCTTTAAGCTCATGGTAACCTTCATCTTCCCAGCTTGGTAGCATTGTGTGACAGTGGCGACTTAGCTAGCAGGTGGAACTGGCCATGATAAAATTGGGTAAAAATCTTTTTTTGTTTGGTATTTTAAAAAACCCTTAAAAAAGCTATTAGGATGTATTGCTTTTATTATTTAGATTTCACTCCCGTGTAAATTCTTTCACCTCACATTTGCATGGTTCTTTTTAATAACTCTGTACTAAAATAATCAAAACAAATTAAATAGTGGTGAAATTTAAGCTTTCATGGTGAACTGAATTGTTTTCTAAAGAATCATAATTAAATGGAATCGTTGATGGGTCAGAGATTTATATCCTTACATTGTTTGTAAGGATGTGGTGTCTTTCAAATGCAGTGTTTTTCTGGACTGACAGGGAGTTGGTTGATGTTAGTTAAATCTGTCTCTGCCTGCTCACCCTGCTCTCTCCTCTCCGAGAGGCCACAGGGAGAATACAGGCGATGCCAGCAGGGGATTTGGCTGCTGACAAATGACAAGCTCCAACATGGAGGGGCGGCGAACTGCCACCATCCTGCAGCCTGTCTCTATTCCACTGAGAGGCTTAAAAATGGCAACATGGAAAGGTCCAGCTCATCATGCGTGAGAGGGGTAGGGCCACTGCCCTCCTGTGGAACATCACGTCATGACAAAGAATCCTTGGAAAAATCAGAACATGGGGACATGGGCTCCTGCAGGTGGTTGACTATACCTGGCAGTAGCCAAGGAGAAAAGGGCAGCCAAGCAGCTGGGTGGTGCTGTCATCTCCAGCAAGTAAAGAGCCTGGGCAGATGGTGGTCTGAAAGAAAATGGAGGCTGGGAGGAGGGCGTCAGGAGAAGGTCAATGGAATTATTCTGGACATGCACTTCAGGTGGATGTGGGGTCGAATCCCCTTCACTCAGTCAGTGAGGTAAGTGTGCAAGGGGCGTGACATCGGCAGAGTAGGGTTGATATTTTCAGATCTTTTGATGAACATATCCGTGCTCTGCAGAACAAATGTATTCTTTTGTAGCAATTGTCAGACAACCTTCACAAAAAAAAAAATCTAATTTTGTAGTGCACTACCTAAATTATTCATCAGACCACTGCTTACAGAGTTACTGCATAACGCTGAGGTTCCGGTTCAAAATGCTACCCTACCATGCCGGACTATGTTGTTTTAGCTGATTGAAGGCAGGCTTTCATTGGCTAATTTTATAGCTATCGACATAGACTTTGCCACCAACATCAGCTCAATTACACCCAATCTAACACTGTGATGTTATGCTTCCTGATTAGGTTGAATTGGTTTTTTGTAATTCTCTGTAGTGCTTGACCAGCCTTGCAACAGTTAAGAGCGCATTTGGGGATGGAGCATGGATAGGTCAACTCCACCAATACTTCACTCTCATAGTCTTTAGTTAAAAATAAAGCCAAAGATCTAATAAATAGTCAGTGCTATAGTAAACAGTGAAGATCACATATATCCATACTGCAGAGTAGGTGGTAAAACCCGACTGATATATCGGTTGACTGATACAATTCAGATTGAATGCAACCATTCAGAGTTTTATCGGTCTTGATAATGAGCTTCTGTTTTGGTTGCAGCCTCACTGGGAATGAAACTTCCATCTCCTGACGACAGCAATACAAGCTGAACTAGCAAATAGTTAAAATAACAAAATCTTTAAAATGCATCCAAATAATCCTTAACACAGAGGTGGGCAATATGACCAAAATGTAATATCACAACACTTTAAACTTCTCATGATACACAATTTGATATGATTTATATTTTTCTGAAATCTGACACTGGAAGAGACAAAGTAGTGCCACATTTAAAAATACTATCAAAAGATACGAATATAATGACTTTTATTCCATATTTATTCCGTGTTTTTTAAGTTTTAAGTTTTTTAAGTAAGCGGTATTATGACATACTGTTATGTCACTTATCGCAGTAACTTTAACATGAGAATAACAAGACAAAATATCACTTATCATAAAACACATGAACTAATGAAAATGAAGGAAAGTAAGAGAATGACAGTCACTGCAGTCTAAACAATCATATCCATCATATTTAACTAAAACTACTGGAGTAAAATCAAAATCTAAAATGTAATTTTTTATATATCATATTATCAGCCCCCTAAAATCAGTATCTGTATTAACCTATGAAATCTTTACAAATCTTTTTTTAAAAAAAAGAAGTTTTCAGTCACCAGCTCTTCAGAAAAATACAGGTTAAACTGTCCATTGTTGCAACAAATTTTAGCATTGGGGTAACATGTTGCAACCCCCAAATCCTGTAGGTGAAGAAGCTTATTATACAGTTGATAATATCAAGACTTCATTTTCAAAATATACTATAAAGTATTCAGGAATTTATAGTAAAATTTTATAGAATGATTCAGTAAATTCTTCAGTAACTACTATGAAACTAATATGTAAGATATGTAGTTATGAGAGTGTTGAAATAAATTCCACATACTTTTAGCATGCTGATCACCAACTGCATGACTTGGAAATACGGTAAAAATTTGGAAGTTACATCAAGCCACAAAAGCGTGCAAAACTAAAGTGCTGTTGTGACCTCTTCAACCACAAAAATAACCTTCTGCTCGGCCCAAACAGTCCCCTGTGGTACTGAATTAATCTGTTCCTCCTGCCTCACCTTGTCCTGGCTCCTTCCTCTCTACCTTGTTAATCATCTGCAGCCATGGCCCTGAGGGGGGAGCCTCTCTCACCAACCAAATATGACCCTTCCCATCAGGCCCTCAGCCTGAGTCAACCATTAGCTCATTCCTGGTCTGTCCTGCAGTCATCATGGCCAGCGCCCAGCAGGGCGACCGGCTGAAGAAGCCATGAGGAAAACCAAACACGAGAGAACGTTAGCGAAAGAGAGAACGGCAGAGGTGAATGTGAGCCAAAAGATACGGGGAAACTATTATAAAAAACAATACGGGAGATGAAGAACGGCAACTTGGCGAGCAGGATAGAGAATGTGAGAGAGAGATAAAGACAGAAGGAGGGGCAGCATTTTCTGTTGTAGCGCTATAAATAATTCCTCTTTAAAGCAGACTCTTTTTATTATTCAT